GACAATCAAACCTGATACTGAAGGAGGATGAGAACACAAACGCAATTTACCGAAATGTTCAATTTATAAATAGCAAACGCCAGGCTAAAAATTTAAAAAGAATTCTGTGCACATCCAGTTTCAAGGAAAAGAATTGTTCCGTAACAAAATGCAATGACCCAAGATGCAGTACCTGCGACTATATTGTGGAGGGAACCAGCTACGACTTCCGGAGCCGAAATTTCACTGTAAATGCTGACATGTCCTGTGAAACTAAGAACCTAATTTATGTCATAACATGCCCGGGTTGTAACGAATTTTACATCGGAGAAACTAGCACTACACTGAGAGCTCGGATAAGAGTCCACAAACAGCATATTAATAATCCGCAATACAGACAAATTAAACTTAGTGAACATTTAGATATATGCGGGAAGAGACAATTTACCGTTTTCCCGTTCTATAAGATGTCTGGAAACCAAATTCAACGAAGAGAAAAAGAAAACCACTTTATTACTACTTTAAAACCAAAGCTAAATAGCATTGTTTGACTTTCCCGTAATAACTGCTGGGAGAATTACGTCATAGAGACTGTATTACGTTCCTCTAATTATGACGTCATAGAAGGCGTTACTATGTGACAGTTAAAAAACTTGATTGTAAAGCATCTGAAGATTTTTAAATGAAAGCGCTAATGCTTTACTTTGTTGTCTTCGTGTTTTCTTTTTAATTATTTTTACTATATATATATATATATATATATATATATATATATATATATATATATATATATATATATATATATATATATATATATATATATATATATATATATATATATATATATACACAAATAAATGCAACAATTAATTATCTTATTTGTTTTACTAAGCACGAAGAAGAACGACCGAGTGTAAAAATTTAATCAGGTTAGAACGAAGAAGCAGGGTAGATTTCACTGTTTATTTTAATTAAAAATTGTACTTATTACGCAAAGATCAAAAAACATTTATTGCTTTAGTGTAACCTGCCAATAAAGATACATCACGTTTTTTAAAAAAAAAATAAGTATTCTAAAGTTTGAGAATAAGGTTGAAGAATGAAGTTTACTTTATTCAGTTTCAAGGAAGTTTAAGTGTTTTAAATCCATTAAAGAAAATCGTTTTCATATCTTAACTTTCTAAACAAGCCTGGTGATTTTTCTAGTGGAAATTACTCGTTACCTTCATGCAAAATTGAATCCAAGTGGACTCCTGAAAAAACGCTCCCCCAAAGCCGCCCATTGTTTGCAGTCTGATGTCAGGTGTCTAAGATTCCTAGCAAGGGAGGTGATCTGTGCCTTCTGCTGTGACGATACTGAAATAATTCTACCAGGTGATTTCAATATTAATCCCATGAATACTCCCCCCCCATCCCCCGACACACACAGGAGTTTGGACTTTCACAGATAATTGCTGTACTTACCCGAGTTACTAAGTGCCAAAAGTATCTTAACCCTATTGACCACTACCCTATATGTTTAACACGGAAACCTAACTGCATACATCGTAAAGGAATTCGTAGTGAAATCCGATCTCGAGATTTTAAAAAAAAAAAAAAAAAAAAAGTTTCCACGAGAATTAGAGAATGCAATTTTCTTCACTCTGGAACCAAATGAAATATTGAATAAAGTTTCTAAATTATTTAATGATATTCTTAACAAGCATGCCAAAGTGAAAACTATATTCTGCCTAAATGGCTAACACAGGAAATATATGGTGTTAGACATTTACGTGCTAAACTCCATCTATGTCAACTTCCCTTAGTTATGCAGCAATATACATCCATCACCTGCATATGGAGTGTACATATATATCTCAGTTGATTCGATACGCAAGAACATGCTCTACGTATGACCAATTTCTAAAACGAGGTCAATTATTGACAAGCAAGTTGATGAAACGAGAATATCAACAGTCTCGTTTGAAGTCATCATTTCGTAAATTCTATGGTCGATACAATGACCTTGTCTGCAAATACAATTTATCATTGAGACAAATGCTGACTGACGTTTTTCATACTTATCGTTAGTCCATTATTAATACACTGAATTGACGAAGGATTTTTCCGTTATTTCTCGATCATATCAAAAGAGCACACGGAGGGTGTGACCGGTCAGCAGGGGATGCTCACTCCTCCATGGCACCAGATCACACTTCTGATGTTTCGGAGGTCCGTGTTTGCTCTGCTCCTATTTTGTCTTGTTTTATGGACTTTGACATTAAATACTGTTCGTTATCTCCATATCCCTCTACAAATGAATTCAGAAAATTACATATTTTGGAGAAAAAGGCACACAATTTATAGATCAAGCCAAATCAAAGTATTACAAAACAGCAATAGCAAATATGTCAGTACGAATATGTGATTCAAAATTATTAAATCAATTGACCGAAACTAAACGAGTGTCCATATGAATGACAAAAAATCTCGAGATGGACGTTAAACAATATGCAATCAATCAATCATACATAAACTAAAATAGGGGGAAAATTTCAATATAAATCAAATATGGTACTCTCATCGCTATGTTCCGAAAATCAGGCATTGACTAATTAAAAATGTTCATAAAAATGTCTCTGAATTTCGTGAGTAATTCGTTTTAACCACGATACTGAGTATTTCTTCAAACTTCATCTTTAAAGTTAATGTTATTATATAGGAAAAATAAGTAAATTTCAAATGAAATTTCAGGAAATGCGAATACCCCCCCCCCCACCCACCCCACCCTTTTGCATTTTCCAATTCAAAATTAATCAACAAACAGAAATAAAAATCATAGGTATCTAGGCTTTTGAGGATATTGCACAAATTTTATACTTAAACCTGTTTTAGGTGCTTTTGTTTCTTTTATTAACTTCCATCATTTTACAATGCATAGTGTATGAAGATTTCCTACCACTCAATTGCAAAAACACCGTAAATCACTTCTAATTTCATAACATGTGAATAAATATTGTTATCTTTGTTTAAATTACTAGTAAAAGAACCCCAATATCTTCAAATATGTAACTTTGAAGTGTATTTAAAGTGGTGATCGGTACATTATAACCCCCCTAAGAATCTAACCGTTGATATCTCTCAAACTCTCTTTGTCAAAATATTTTTGAAATTTTTCAACCTACCGGTATATCGTACACAATAGCAATTACCTGGTACACAACCTTTCACTGAATCCCGAGTGAAGTGAAGATTCATTATACTTCCCGTCCCCGCAAAGTTAATTCAATCACTCTATTTCTGACTTCTTTCTCATAAATATTCATATATTTATATCGATATAACTATATATTTATTTTTTCATATCGACAGTACTATATTGATATGATTAAATGTATCTTGTTTCGATCGATTTCTGAAAATCAATATAATATTCAAGTCGATAAAACGTACCGCAAAAAAATCTATTGAACAAAAGAAAATGCCTTTTATTATGTAACTACATCTAACGCAATTCAAAAATATGTGTAAAATAAGGAGTGGAGTTATTACATTTCATATGTCGCTACAAAGTAAAATAACATAGCAGGTGTACTGCCCTTTACGCTTCCGTAAAAAAGAGCAACCAGATTATATAAAATGTGGCTTATGATGTCCCTTCTCTACCATAATTTAGAAAACTTGGATGACTGACCATATATGAATTGAATAATTTTCATGTACAAAGCACTGCGTGGTATGGCACCAGATGATTTAAGAGACATTTTTGAATTTATTTCTTCTAATAATTATGTTTTACGATCTAAACACAACTATTACCTTCGTCTACAGAAATATCAAACAAATCAATTTAAAATTCTTTTCTTTATTTTGGTGTTCATCTATGGAAAAAAATTACCTCTGTAAATAAGTTGTTCAACAATTGTATATTACACATTTCGTAAAAATGTAATAAATATCATTATTACTTGCCGCAACAAAGCTGTTTGAATACCATGGTGTAAACGTATTAAATTTGGCTGTGTATTCTTTTTAACGGCTTTGGCGGAACGGTGCAACCGCTAAATCATGTACAAAGCTGAAAGTCTTGCACATATAAACATAAATAAGAATATGAAGAAATGCGCTACATCCAGTTTACGCTAACTTAGTCAAACATCAATTTCCGCCAAATATCGTACAAGCTAAATGTAATAAATTTACAGTAATTTCATGTCCTAAAATGTTATATGTAGTTGCAGGCGTATTTTTACATAATATTGTATTATTAATTATTTGTACAATGTTTTTATAATAATTGTATTATTGTTAATTTTAAGAGGACCCCGATGAAGTCTAGTGCAATGCGCTAATAAGTTACCATCTATTAATAAAGTTATTATTATTATTATTATTATTATCATTATACAGTTACTTAAAAGTTACTCTATATTTGAGAAACTAAGTTTCTAAGGGATTTTATATCCTTCGATATGAACAAGTTCAAGTTCTATTCAAGTAGAAAGTTATTCTTGGTCGCACAAGAAGTTCTTATTGCGTTTGGATAAACACCGTTTCGCAAGGGTTTGGTATCAATTCGCATAGTTTAATATAAGGTAAATCAGTTTAAACAGAATATGCCACCATTATCAAGCACTTTTCCTTCTTGACAAAACACTGATCAAAAGAGATAAACCAATAATAACAATAGAAGTTCTATTGTCACATCCATTAGCTAGAAAAATCTTCATATATAATTGAATGACTTGAAAGTAAGAAATGATAAAACTTATCGAAGACATTAATTTAACAGATATGGATGATAAGCTTTCCGATATAAATCATTGGTTTTCTTAATTTAAGGAAAAAAAACGGTTTTCTGAAATTGCACAGAAGACTGCAGATGTATTTTTTTCAGACTCTTCCCACATTCTTTTATCTTAAAATACTTTTGTACTATGAAATCTTACGTCAAGGAGAGTGTTTTTTTGATGAATTTGATTTTCTTTCTTTGTTGTGAGGAAGACGGTGTGATTAAAGTTATCGATATCATAGGTTACAAAATGTGCCTAAAAAGATGTCATGATAACAATCTTTGTCTCAACGTGGAATACAACAAGAAACAACTTCGATGTAAGCTGCTGAAAGATCATGACGATGGTAAAGAGACTTTACTTACCCAGCTAAGGAATGTGACAAAATGTCAAAAAAGACTCCAGGTACTAAAGTTTAGATTTCATATCTTACAATTCAGTTGTGAACAGTTTGAAAACCTATCAAAGCTAGTGTTTCTTAGAAGAAAATATTTATTTGAATAGAGTTATATGTATAACCTACCTGACATTTGTTTAACTGCCTGAAGAGCCCAACATGGCGAAAGCGCTTGCAGTAAATGTTTTTTATTCCTTTGGATTTTTACTTTTAAATATACCAAAACATTATTCCGATTCTTCATTTTGTTTTCGAAATATATATATATATACCCACCTGCGCCCCACCCTACGGTTGAACTCTCGACCTACGGAATCTGTCTCCTAGCAGTACAGGAACAGCGCGTTTTTACCATGTTTGCTCTGCTCCTGTTTTGTGTTGTTTTATGGACTTTTGATCCTGAATACTGTTCGTTATCTCTATTTGTTTTATTCAAGATAAAAAATTCATAAAACAATAAAAAAAAATAGGAAATGAGCAAACTGGACCTCCAAAAGATCAGAGGTGGGATCAGGTGCCATGAAGGAGTGAGCATCCCCTGTCGACCGGTCACACCCGCCGTGTGCTGTAGATGTTTATTTTGATAACATTTTTCATCACTTTTACTTTAAATTCATTGCTGCACTGTTTATGTATGTCATCTTGAAGTCAATAAAGGAATCACTGTCTAGTTTATTTGCCAGGTCATCAACGATAGTTGGAAATGTGGGATAATTTACATAACGGATGATGCCCGATATGCATAAGTTATCCCACTTTTCCAACTGTCTCTGATTCCCTTGCATACTCAACAAACTAGACGTTTACTTTTTTATATTTACATTTCATTGTGGAATAAAATTGTTAATTTAGATTTTTAAATGTTGTCTAAAAGATTTAAATTACACGAAACCTCCCATGTAAATTTCATTGGTCCCCCGTCCACTAATGTCGAACACAAAGACAGCCGCACGAGATTTACATGTATATCAGGCCTTCTAAGCTCATGTACTTTCACTTGGCGAAATTAACATTCCAGTTGATTTATCAAAAAATCAACTCAAAGAGTTATCACCGAGAAAACAAAATGGAATGTTAAAACAATATTTCAATTTCAAAAAACATTTCCACCATACCCAATTATTGATAATGAAATACAGAATTTCAAGGCCTTTGTGCTAATTTCAATCTTTTAAAGTCTACAAAATATATTTTAAAAAGAAAATGAGTAACTTTGAAATCAGAACCTGAAGAATATACGAGGGCTGTTTAATAAATAATGTCCTTGGTGCTCGGAAAGAAGCAAAAGACGCTTTTCAATGATTTAGTCTTAATGATTTTACTCATGATTCTCTTTTAATTCAAAACCGTTCACGGTAGCTCAGTCGGTAGAGAGCTCGCTCCGTGATCCGGAGGTCGTGAGTTCATATCTCGGCTGCGACTGACCTAAGTCGAAAAAAAAATGGGTAGCAACTGTTCCTTCGCCATGCGCCCGGCACTTTGAAGTGAAAGTTGCGGGTCCTTCGGGATGAGACCTTAAAAACCGAGGCCCCGTGTCAACGGCAAGTGTTGGCACGATAAAGATCCCTCACTGCTCAATGGCCCTGAGTGCCGAGTAAAGGTCAAAATTTGAAGCCCTTCACCGGCATACGGTGACGTCTCCATATGAGTGAAAAATTCTCGAGAGAGACATTAAACAATATGCAATCAATCAATCAATCAATCAATCTTTTAATTAAAACACATGTCCGTAACATTTTTTATCCAATTTCTGATTGTTATTAGAAGTAATTTTTGGGTATGACCTTTAGTATACTTGAAAATGGCAGATCCTATGATTTCCTGGACTTGTTTCTTCCTTCTAAAACGTGCGTTTTTTTTCAAGTTTGGAAATTGAAACAAGTCAAATGATGAAAGATCTAGCGAAAATTGTTAATGTGAAAAACTATTAATTTCTGTTTATCCAAAAATTTCCTTTACTTATCAGGGTGTGTGGGTTTCGACGCTGTCATTAAGAAATTTAATGTAGTGGATTCTTGAATCTATTTCCTTCCTCTCATAAATCTTTCGATTTTTTTTTGGCAAAAAATTGCTTTCTAGACTCCTCCTGAAATTAAACTACCTCACCGAATACGAATTTGAACAACAAAACCACTTATATTTAAGAAAATTGCATATAAATCTGTCTTTGTGCTCTTGCAATTCTTTGCTATACTTAAACCTTTGCTGTTTTTGTCAAGCACATCTTATTGTAAATTTTGTTTTGACGGTTTTTAGCAATAGATTCCAGTTTCATTATCTGTTTTAATTTCAAATAAACGTGGATAACTAGACTTACTGATATTTTAAAATAATTATTTAGATGTTCTTACACTCTGTCGTTTTCACTCATTTTTCAAAACATAGGGTGACCTTTGAGTACTAAGCTTTTTTACTGTCAAATGTTTCTTTAAAGCAGTGTAAACTACTCCCAAAATTATGTCTATCAAATTTGTTATGTGTCTCAAAAATTATTTGTTAAAATTTTGCAACAGTACATAAGTTGTTATAATTTTTTTTATAGTAAGGACGCAACCCATTTTTGATGCCGATTATATACTTTTTTATAATTGAAATCCACCTGCTCATTTGTCTATAAAACAGACATTGGTTGCCGTAAATTTTACATTTTTCACTGAATATTTCTTTGGGATTATTAACAAGTTTTAGAGCAGCTTTAATGAAGCTAAATTGATTTCACTCCAGTTTTCTGATTCTTTACCATTCATTTTTAATGCAGTGTCTCGAATAGTCCTTGTTTTCCAGCGTCTCACTATGAAACAATATGATGAAAAGTGGTCACATACACTGTTATAAATTCATTCAAGATTCAATAATGAGAGAAAGTCAAGCATAATGCCATATGATATCTGTATTGTATTTTATACAGTTCAGGACATTATTTACTGAACAGCCCTCGTATAAATTAATTCTTGTTCATAAAATGTAAAGGGGTTATTTTTAAGAAAGTTTTATTTTTAATTACATAATGACAACATTTTTGACAGGACTTTGTTACACATATATAACTGGTCTTTTCAGTTGAGTGTTTGTGAAGAAAACGTTGAACGTGTTCATTTTTCCTCTGGAGAGTATAAATGTATATCAAAAGGTATATGTATTTAAAACTGATGCTTTCTTTGCTTTGTTTTGAACGTTTTCTTTTAAAAATATAAAGTCATGTAATTTTAAATACATTTATCATTTGAAATAGAGCAATATAGAAATGTAGCCCTAGGAAAACCAGCGAATTTATCATCAGTGTGGGATATCTATTCGGAGGCTTTTTACGCTGTCGATGGGCGTGGAGTTGTCCCGGGAGTAGGACACTGGTACTGTGCGCATTCTGATGGAATTGAGCCACATCCCTACCTCAGGATTGATCTACAGAACCTGTTCTATATTGATCATATACTTCTTTTAACACGGGGAGATTATTATGGTATATTTTCTATAGATTTTGGTGATAATAAATAACGTTCTGATTGAATTTTTAGAATACTCATATAAGTTCAAATTACTAAACTTGTAATTTGTTAATAAAATAGAAAATTAAAATTGTCAACATTGAAACTGTGTACAGGCCCCTATAAGACAAGGATTTCCATACATTTCGAAATATTATGATAAACCAAGGTTTTTAAAAAGAAGAATTATTTATGAACAAGAAATACGAGTGTTGTCCGGTAAAATCGTGGACAATTTGTCTAGAGTGAAAACTCATCACTGAGTTCTAAAACATTCACTACTTTTTTAAAGAACATTTTTCATCAATATGCGTACAGATTTCAAATGGACATTTAAGGAATGAATGAAATAGCAACCAAAATTACATGTTTACTGAATATCTTTGGTTGGAACAGTTTACGCTTTATAATCCGCGAAGCGTGTCTTGTTCCAACCACCCAGGTTATACCATTACAATTTAAGTTGCTATTTAATTCATTCCTTAAATTTTAATTTTCAGACATTAAGTATAGAAAACGACCCTTAAAACGTCTTAAATTGTTGATATTTTAAACGTAACGTCAAACGGATTGATACGCTTGTGACGTAAGTCATTGTGAAGTAAGCAATCCAGGTTTTACAATTTAGATTGATTTTTTAAATCCAATTTCATGTTGCGTTTCAAACAAAATAAATTATATATGCATAAATAAACAAATTATGATATTTTTCGTTATGTGTTGTGCTTATTAGCGGCGCACAAATGATAAGTGTCTAAAACAGCGTCATGTTTCCTCCTTGCTTAGAAAAGTTTAATAAGAAAGAAGAAATTGATTCACATACTTGAGTTGCACTTTATTTCTCCATAAACAGTCGAGGGACCAATCTTGCAATTGGGACCTTCTGAAGATTTATTTGAAAGTTGTGGACGGTATTCTCATTATCATTCAAATTAATAGCTAAGCTTTTATCGACAGTCTACAGCAACATCATTTTTCGCCATCACCATGACTGTTTGTCCGTGGGTTTTGTTCTACCTAGGAACTCAGTCAAAAAGATTTCGCTCAGAAACCCCCCCATTTCACTTGTATACTTAAGATCTCATATTTTTCTGTATTCATTCATAGTCTGTTAGAACGTTTTTACTACCACTGAACTAGTCTCTGGTGCGCTGTAACATCATCAAACGTCGCCATTTTTCCCGTGCTGTGATTACCATTCTAATATTTCTAATGCTCGGGACTCTGACAAAAATTAGGCAAATGCCTTGAGATTTTCCAAAAGACGACACAATAGAGAGTGGATTAAAAACAAGATTACGTTTATCCCAATCTCCCAGAAGGCACACAACATTGAATAAACTTTGAATCAACGTTGTTTTTCTATGTTGATTCAACATTGATTTTATGTTAGATTTTGAAAATTTGTATCAACGTCGAAGTCTTAACATTGAATCAACGTTGATAATGAACGTGGATTATCTGTTGAAAAACAGTTGATTCAATATTTATTCAATTATTAATTTTGGAAAGGGGGTGTCATATAGTAATAGTATACTTACTTAAAATTTCAACCGTTTCATTGCACGGTTGCTAAGATGCCTTCGTAATTGTTGAAGGGTAGCGACCCTCTGATAAGACAGATAACTTTCAAAGTCCAAAATAGTAATACTACTCACAGTATTCTTACTCAGTTTTCTGAGACCTTTGAGTAGTCACTTTGATGAGGTCATACATAGAAGGAATAGATTACTTTCTATTTATTTTCCAAATTTCTTTGTAATTGTTTTATTATATTTAACAATAAAACATTTAAATCCAACATCAAATGCCTTATAAATTGTATAAGTTGTATCTTTTTAAGTACCATTTTAAAAATGGTTTAATATTTCAAGTACTTAATACAGTATTTTAAATAGAATGATTTTTTCACATGAAGAAATATTCAGAAAAAATAACTCCTCATCACAGATATATTTTTTTCTTACAACCACATACACCATTGTGATTTTCTGACTTAGGAAACATCGCTCTATGATGTTTTCTAACATGATTTAAATAGATATAATAGTATTATTTTCATATGCACCTCATATATTATATTTAATGTTGTGGTAATAAATCGTTGCTCTTTCTATTCTCTGTGTTCAATTTCTTCATTTCATGATCTGCACATAAAAATCATTTCTGAAAAAATAAGCAGCGCTTTATACTTCAAACTATTTTCCATGTGGTTCTAATGTTATTGTTGTTTATGAAAATCAATATTACAAATTCAAAACTTTCTAAGGTGAAATTTATAGCAGAGGGTTAATTGTGTAACAATAATTTTCACCAAAATACATTTTATAAATTAATCATGTTACAAAACCCGAGCATTTACAAACGTTTTGCATTTTCACATGTGGTCATGAAATATAGTCCAGAACATGAAACCATTCTAAGGTAAGACGCAAACCTTATACGGTACAACTTTTGATGCACCAGCTAGCATTTCGACAAATTATGTCTCTTCAATGATACTAGTACTCAACGTTTCAAAAACATTTCAATTTTTTATTAAATCTTGGTGTTGAGTCCTGAGGGTTGTGTTATGCTGTCTTTTTGAATATTTTCCGGATGTCCTACTGCGTATGCTCTTAATTCGTACTTTGGCAAATTCGTACTGAATTCATATTTATCATTGAATATGTAAAATTCCTATATTTACCATCCTTGTTAGCTATATTAGTTAGTAATGATATACGGTAGTGCGACATTGTCAAGTCCGACCTCGTTATGGTCCGACAGTGTTATAGTCCGACACTATCATAGTCCAAATTATCTATCAGCGAAAAATAGGATTGGCTCGCTCAGCGAAGATCCGGCGTTGAATCAATGTTGGCAATTCAACTCAATTTGAATTCAATGTTGATTCAACATTAAATTTTCAACGTTGAAAAGTCGACGTTGAATCAATATTGTATCTAGATTCATCAACGTTTAAACCCAACTTCAAATAATATTCAACGTTTAAACAACGCTGTGTGCCTGCTGGGCTTATCTATTTAATAGTTTTACGCCGAAATTTTACATGTGAATTCTCTAATGAAATCCTGCAAGCTATCCTAGGACTAAGAAATATCTTAAGTCAAACTTAAGACATATCTTAGCCTTAAGAGGCCATCGAAGCTATCCTATCCTAGGAGACCTTCTAATCTGCGGACATGTCTTAAGTCATATCTCGGATGATTTTAAGAAGCGTCAGTGTTAGGAAAACACTTAAGAAAGACTTTTTGTGTAAATGAATCATATATTTGTTGTAAATCAACGATTTCTTTAATGAACTAAATCAGTTTATAAACCATGTCCAGTGTGAATGTATGTAAATGCCTGTACACATTGAAAAAATATTTATTTAAGCCCTTGAAAATTGATAAAAATATACAATTGTTTTTTACTTGGGCAAAAACGGAGGGCTTGGGAGAAACCTTTGAAAGATTTAAGTACATACAAGTTCTTAAGACACATTTTAAGAAATTTTCATTAGCAGGCCTGCTGGGTTTTTTTGGTCGTGCGCCGTATGACGTACCCTATGCACATTTAAGCATTAAAAATCCTTTTTCTCTCAGAATCAAGATACACTTAAATAATGATAAATAAACGTTTTCGATTTTTCAATAATTTCAACTTAGTGCTTCTATTATTTTTCGAAAAAATAAACCCTGTGTAAGATTCTACCGGACAACCCTCGTAAATGTCAAAGTATTTGTTTTTGTTTTTAATTTTCCTTATTACGGCTTGCGTATGTAGTTTTCACAGTTTGAATGATAATGCATGTCGTCTAATCGACTGTCCGGTTTACATTAATTGGTGAAAAAGTTTAACTGTAATATAACATTTATTTTTGGTAATATTTTAAACAATGTTAATAAGAAAGAGTATTATATCCCATATATCCTGATGAGAAATATTTACCGGAAAAGTAGAGAAATTTTTTTAGCATTCCTTTATGTTTTATTATTGCTTAATTTTTCTCCCATCACTGAGATAATTCATTCAATTCAAAAAGTTAGAATTAATATTATTATCAAATTTTGGCAAAAAATTGGGGGAAAGCAGCCACGTAGCGTCGTTTTGGAAAGTGGGGGGGGGAGGCTGCCAGAGAAAAAAATTTCACTTACCTGAAAAAGTTGACAAGCAAAAAAAAAAAAAAAAAAGGAAAAGTTGCCCAAATTCGAAAATCCTATTTCCGGGGAAGGGGGGGAGGGGGGTATTAGCTAACTTTTTAAAATACCAACTTCTTTCAGTACCAATTTATTTGACCTACAATACTAAATTTTCCTTATATCATAAAAAGTTGGGGCAAGCAGCCTTTCAATGAACATTTCCTATAGTATAAGTAATGCTGGAAAAAAGTGGGGGGAGTCCCCCCCCCCTTTCTGGAAAGTAAATCGACCTGACAATTTCCAGATTTGTCAATTTCTTAATAGTAAATATTAAACGTTTATTTTTCGGGGGATACTAGTAAAGTGCTCATGAAAGATTTCTAGAAAAATAAAATTCAAGGGTATTTTTATTTTTGCTTTATTTGCCCATCTTTTCTTCAATTGTTCATAGGCTATATAGAACAGTAATAATGATGTAAAAATACAACATACAAATTAATATTTTGTTTGTTTTAGCGGAATATTTGCATGACGTGGAAGTCCGTGTGGGTCACATGACTACATGGGAGAACATGGACACCTGTGGTATGTTTAACAAGACAGCAGAACTTGGTCAGACGTATAAGATCAAGTGTACCTCCTGCCTTGTCGGCAAATTTGTAACAGTAAGGATTCTCGGGGATAAGATGATGCATGGTGACGGTGGAAATCAACTTAGTTTATGTGAGGTTACAGTTTGGGGAAAAAGATATTATAATTAAAATAAAACGATATCCTGTGAATCACTTTGATTGCATTTTTTTTAGTGATAACATAAAGTTTGTTGTACAACAATAAGACGGGGTTTGGCGTTTATTTGCATTTACCTACGGTGAATGTAAATTTTAGAAATGTCTTTCTTTAAGTATATAGAGGGTATGAATTACCAACCAAGATTCAGCTACAGAGCACATTTTAATGCCAAGATCATATCAAATCCAATTCTAAACAGTTTATAGAATGAAATTAATTTCTATATGCTCTAATTTCTTTTCTTTCTATTTTTTTTTAATTTTTGAAAGATTAAATTTATCTTTTTGCTAAATACACTTAAATAAATATTTAAGAGTTCGAAAGCGCCAATTTAATTGAGTTTTTATTCTGAAATTTAATTTTTTTTACCCCCCCCCCCTATCTTTGATAACAATTATAATTTTTTGTTCTTTCTGTCCGCTTTGTTCGAATAGCAGTAGATGAAGAAAGTAATCGATTTAAAAGAAAACTTCTGTACAAAGGAAAGACAAAATTAAAGTGATAGGATTAGGTGCCCTTAAGTGGAATAAACATTCCACTTTGAGCTCTATGTATCGAATTGCATCTACATGTAGTTTACATATGCTGCATCTTTTGGTGCTTACTATGTCACAGTGTTTCTTTGAAAGATTTGTATATTGCTTATATTTTCATTAATAAGATTACCTTTTTTGTATTTTGCAGCACAATTGCGACTTGCATGATCACGAGTCCATATCATAACTTAAAGCTTTCAATTATTTGTAGAGTGTATATTTTTGTGAAATATATTTATTACTTTACAGGGCGTTGTTTGCTCTGCTTATAATTTTTATTGTTCAAGTGAACGTTATTTCTGAGGTTTATTTTAGTTCAGTATACATATATTTCACTAACTATGTGTTAAAACTTCATTGTTGGTAAATTTACTTTTAATTTCCATATATTTATTTATAATATTGACTTGTAACATACTCTGACTCTTGTATATCTCAATGCCCAAATCTAGAGAATATCATCTGCAGAAATTGCCTGAGTGATACATAATCAAGTATTTTCATCTACTTTAATAATGAAATTTTAGTATCTTTCGTGAAAAGTATTCAACCGCATATATCAAGGCTTCTTTCAAAGAACAAACTAAATTATGCATAACATATGCGAAATTCATTTCCATTCTTATTGATTTTCACTGATGAAACACATCTTATATGAAAAATTAATAACTTATATGTAAAACTGGAAGAATAATATGTCCCAAAGAGTCATTGGAACCATTAATATCCGGCTAATAAGTAAGTTTTACCTTAATTAATCGAACTTTGATTTATTAAACAAGATCGATAGTAGACGAAACATTTTATCTTTTTTTTAAGTTACTTTTTTTCTGGAGCGTGAATGCCTCTACACTTGTTGTGTAATAACTTGTTTATAGTCTAATATTTATTGTCTTAACAGCACATAATTTAAGGCACCTTCTTTAAATTGATTATATTGTTCTAAGTGTTTCGACTTTAAACTTAAATTGATACCAAGATATCGTTCAAAGCAAGATTTTTAATCGACATAGTATTGTCAATATGAAAATTAAATATACAGTTAAATCAATATAAAAAAAATATTTCTGAGAGAGTGAGAAGATATTGTTATTGAATTGCTAGTAATTTTTTCGTGGCAATTCTAATGAATCTTCACTTTACTCCGGATTTGAAAAGCTTTTGCACACTATCGTGTACGATTATCAGCTTATAAAAATAAAAAAAAATTGAAAAAGCGAAATGGAGAGACATCTACAGTTAGATCATAAGCACAATCATAGAAGGCTATTGCTTATCACAACTTTTGAAGGGAGTATATGCAAGAGTATCTTTATACCCCTCATCTAGCTTTTAAAAACAATTCTGAGTATAGTAGAAATCCGTTAAGATATTCCCAAAATAAAGAAGAATAATTGAAGTTGAATAATTTCATGTTTAACTTTTTTTCTTGTGAATTTTTTTACTTGGCTGACCCCACACTTTCACCATTTTAACTCTTTCACTAAGCATACACAGATTGCCTGAAATGAAACACAACTATTTTACATTTATTTTAAGTAATAAGAACTTAGATCTGATGCATTGATGGTTAATTTTGAGCGTCCATGTGGTTGATCCTGTGTAAACCATAGAATGGTAAAACATCAAAAATTTACAGAGTACATAGCAAGAGTCACTCCCATAATAATGTTACCTTCTATTTTCATTCCATCAACACGAAGGACTAGTACTATGTGAATTTTTAACTCAAACATTGAAAAAATGGGAAAGGGGGAGGGGTCAACTGTTCTTGAATAATTTAGTTGCAGCAATATTTATTATGCATACTTTGCTAGCACATAATTCTTATTTCAATGAGAGTTTGTTGATTTTTATTTAAAAATATGGAAAAATATTACATTATTACTAGATTTGCATATACAATTAATTTCATACTAATTAGGACAGTCTAACTGATATACTTCCTTCTACCCCCTTCTCCTTTAACCCCCTCTTATCCCCTTCTTTCTCTATAACCATACAACAAATATATGATACTTTACTCAGGATAACCGTGCCTTCGTGTATGTGCCGTCAATTCATTAGAATTTCCACGCCCACGAAGTTGGATATAGAAAATATTTTGCAAACGTTTCTCATGTACATGTGTACATGTTGGATATCTATATCAATTTAACTATTATGCATACAATATTATTATGTGTGTCGGGCTAACTACTTAGATACCTTTAACTTTCATGCTTAAATCATTATTGTCATATCGATACTTTTTAAAGTCGATATAAATGTGGGAATGCATTCCATCTTGCAGAAAATACGATTTGAATTTTGTGAAACTACCCTGATACAATAAAACATATATCTGAAATGAAACATATGGAGAAAACGAAGAGTATTTAAGATCAAAGGCCCATAAAACCATACAAAACTGGAGCTGAGAAAACACGTATAGACCTCCAAAATATAAGAGGTGGGATCAGGGGCCATGGAGAAGTGAGCATCCCCTGCCGACCAGTCACACCCGCCGTGTGCTCCTTGTCATAATCGGGAAATAATGGAAAAACCGTCGTCAATTCAGTATATAAGTAATGGACTTACAATTATTATGAAAAAAAAACGCCAGTCATTATTAATTTATAAGAAGTCATAACAGATTATACGAGGGTTGTCCCGTAAAATCGTAGACAAAGCGTTTTTCTCGAAAAGTAATGGGCGCACTTAGCTGAAAATTTCAGTAAATGTTTATTTATCATATATAAGTGCATAATAATTTTTTTTGATAATAAAGATTTTATTATGCTTGAATGTGCACGGGGTATTGTCCTACGGCGCACGGATAAAAAAACCAAGGCTTTATTAAAAAATACACAAGTTTGAATTCAAAATAAAAGTTTTTAATACATAAGATTTGGATTAAAATTATCCTAATTCAATTCCACAATCAATTTTGTAGTCTTTGTAAAAATTTTAAGGCATTTGGTTAATTTTTGGCAGTTTCTCGAGCATTCGAGATGGGAAAGTGGTAAACACAACACACGAAAAATGGCGACGTTTTATGACGTTACGGCGCACCGGAGAGCATTTCCGTTTTGATTCGATGTTGTAATGACACCTTTAGAGACTTGAAATGACCATAGAGGAAAAAAGATTATAAAAATATCGCCATATTTTAAGTATACAAATGAAATAGGAGTTTTCTTAGCGAAGTTTTGTCCCTTATATAAAAACATGACAATCTCCTAATGTAATAGCAAAAGACTCTGTCACAGTAGACCGCCGATATGAGATTTTCTTTTAGTTGAATGATGGTGAGAATATTGTCCGTAACTTACTGATAAATCTTCAGAAGATCACATAAGGGTTCCAATTGGTTCTTCGACTGTTTATAGAGACTAAAGAATGTTTATCAATGAAATTCCTAAATTTAAGTCGGACTCATCCAACTTCATTTTCAGCAAAGATAAAACGTGACGCCGTTTTAAACACTTTGACGTTATAATCCATGCGCCGTAAGGTGATACAATACATGGCATAAAATCACATAATTTGTTTATTTATGCATATATTTATGAAATTTGCTGTGTATATATATATATATATATATATATATATATACTTGTCCACGAGAGAGAGAGAGAGAGAGTAGAGAGAGAGAGAGAGAGAGAGAGAGAGAGAGAGAGAGAACTTTGATGTGTGTGTGTGTGTGTGTGTGTGTGTGTGTCAACTGGGGTGTGTGTGTGTGACAAAATTTATATATATATATATATATATAGAGAGAGAGAGAGAGAGAGAGAGAGAGAGAGAGAGTATATATGTATTTTGAGATCCTTTTAGAATAATCACTCTTCCTCATTTTCACCTTTTACCTAAATATTTACATAGAACTTGATTCCAAAAAGTCGAAGATAAAACACTTAATTAAATATCATCACTTTGACACGTGATATCACATTCAGTGGAATTCTCCAAGCTAGCTTTTTGTCATGCTATTTTACAAAATTCCGGATTGGAAAAAAGTAAATTGTGTTCAAAAGAAATACTCGAATATATTTAACATATTGTTTATTCTGTACAAAATTATGTCCAAAAAGCCACATTAAAATCCTTTCTATACATAATTGCTTACTGAAAAAAAATTAGACGAGATCACAGAGCTACAGTAACTGTATAATAAATATATAAAAGTAATACCATACCGACATCGACTGGAAGGATATGAAAGGTATTTATCAAAAAGATTTTTCTTTGTGTTTGACTTCTACTGGCCTATGTGAATTGAAAATGATTTCATTGTAATAATCTTATTTATATTCTAAAATGTTGAACTGAAAGATAATTACAGGAAATTAGTGATAGGTAGTAAAAACTTCCGCATACAAAGTTAAGATATAAAAAATAAATTAAATATATAGACTGTAAAGATGTCAAAAGCTTTCCTAACATAATATTAACCATAGAAAAACACAAAACATTTACAATAACAACATATTTTCAAAGATAAACATGATTTTTTTTATATATAGTAATTGTGGGTCTCTGAACTCGTAGATTCTTTCTTCACAGAGATCTACTTTTACAATCAGTTTTGTAAATATATTGTGTTAAAATTTTGGAAAGCGTGGATTCAAGTCTCTCTTCGTCGATTCCTTCCCTTTGATAAAATCTTTTTTTTTTCCTATCGGCAACTCCGCATCAAAGCAGATACTTATATTTCGATTCAAATTCCCTTTTCTTCGAAAACAGTTTTAAATGTGGTTTACTGTTCTCAATTTCCTTAACTGTATACTACGAAGCAATGATGTCAACATCCTATAAAATACATAAACAATTCATGTAATTAGATGGTTAATAAGAACAGTCAAGGTCTTGTAAATCACTATTATTCATAAATATGTGATCATTGCCTCTAATCTTCCATTTACCATAATGTGATTGATTACAAAAAGCATTTGTTGCAAATTAACAAAAACGTCATGTTTCATGCTTATCTGCTGATTAGTAAAAAGGCGTCTAGTTCTCTATCAATATATAATAGTTATAACATTGCCTTCTTTGAGTTGTCAGCATTTTCTGTTTTATTCACTTCAGAACTGTACGTTTCCTCGCCTCCTGCAAAATATTTCAAGTACAGTGTAAATCTTTTATAATATGATGGCTCGTGGTTACAAAATTCTGAATGGAGAGAAAAAACATTTTTTGTGAAATGCCCGATTTTTCATGGTTATAAGTAGGCATATTCTCCCCCTCTCCGTCAGATAATTATGTCAACTTGTCAGATCTTTAAGTTGTCTTGTGCGATGATTTGGTCAATTTGTCCGATCTTTTTGTTTTGTTTTTGAGTGCTCTGTATAAATTACAAACTTAAGTATACGACTCATTAGCTTGAGTTAAGTTAAAGGGATATAGATACATGTAGAAGCATTAACTGCAAGTATTCTAAATCATATATCGAACCTTAGAATTTAAGATCGTGAGACATACTAGTACTTACGTCGACCTAGGAATGCTCCGTAAGGATTACATGGTTTCACATTCACACACTCTCGAGCTTCATATTTGCTTCCTTAAAAGGGAAAAAAATCAGAAATAGATCAATGAAGGTAACCGGCTTACCAGGTATAAATAATTTTCAAAACAAAAGTCAGTTTTATAGTTCTTTTAAAGTCCCATTAGAACTTCAGTCATACATAAATTTTGATTTTTCACATGTAACAGTTTATTTGAAAAAATAAATTCTATGTGTTGTATAGAAAGGAATACATAATGATAGCAAACAGATTTGAAAGATCTCATAGGCGATAGCAACAAAAATGCACGTTACTCTTAAAAATAAATTGATTGCAATAAATGTATAATGTGATAAGACATATATTAGTTAAAGGAAATATAACTCGCCATCACATTCGCTGCCTCCTGCTTGTGGACCAGGGCATTGACACGACCTCTGGCGGACCTGCATGGAGTTAAGTCCCGTGCAAGTGGCGGTACATTGTGACCATTCATTCCAGCTACACCACTCGCCCGCCTCTAAAAAATGAGCAAATATACTGATAGCATAATCCATGGTATCTGATCCCATCTCTGATGTTTTAAAGGTTCGTGTTTGGTCTGCATCTGATTTATATTGTCAAATGGACATTCGAGCTTGAATAGTGTCCGTTATCTTCATAAATTTCATGTAAAATCAGAATGATCTTAAAGTAGGTTAGACAGCCAATCACAAAATACCAGTATTAAAATTTCAGTTTACATTTATAGAAGCAAATGTCAAAATGCATTCAAAATACTTTCTGAATAATCTCCGTGTTGTTCCAAAGGATGCATTAATAATGGATAACATAAGTTAGCATCTTTGCGAAAACAAATGGAAGACATACTTGTAGTTGTGGCTAACAATACAATCCTTGCAGAAATGTGATTAATAATAAGAAGATATTCTTCTATTTTAAATATTGTAGACATCATTCCCAAGAACTGGTATAGTCCTTATATATTTGTTACAGTCAGCTTGAATAACATCTTGATGGCATATAGTAGCAAAGGCTCTGTTCATGCCTGGATCAAAAGAAATTGATCTTTTGTTTTTGTTTAGAACATGTTTTATTGCATAATTTATACAAAAGGATTGGTTACAAGTTCTTGCATCTTAAAAAGGGCTCTTTTGTTATATAATTTACATTGCCTAGGGTATCCAGATGCAAAAATACTGATATATCAAGAAAATGTAAAACATCACAGAGAAGGCACTGTAGGTCCTTTATAATTATTTTGAAACAATGGACAGCGAAATTTTTTTCAGTGATACCCTATTCGATAAAGATAACCAGCACACCTTGAATTTGACAGGGGATGCTTACTCTTCCATGGAACCTGATCCACTTCTGACGAATTAGAGGTCTGGTATTGCTTCAATTAATGGTAATGGTAAAATGGTAGTCAGTGGCATTTAACTTGCATTAACTTATGCAATGAACATGATGAAATTTAAGAAAAAAGTAGTAATCAAATTCAAAGGTCTGTTCAAAAACAGAAATTTGTACTAAAGCAAACATGTACTTCCAGGGCAGTAGAGGAGCAAGGGATAAGGTACCTTGAAGAAGTAAGCGTCCCCTGACCATCGCTTACACATGTTGCATATACGTGTTTTTGTTGTTATTGATCAGGAAAACAAAAACCAGTGGATGGACGGAGGGTCAAATAATTTAAATGAAAAACGTAAGTCAACATTGGACTTCACGATGGATTATATTTGCTGACAAGGTTATTCCATCTAATTATGTCCTTTGAAATCAACTCATTTGCAATAGTTTGCACTGGCCATATGTAGAGTATGGACTACTTGGAGACAAACTCCATTGTAAGTGATTATTGTTTCTACATAAATAAAGGGTGTTAACGATAGAAAAGTTGGGGTCTACTTGTTTATCATTAGTTTTGTTGTAGTGACACCATTGTCTTCTCTAATACAAAATCCAAAAAAGAAATAAATGTCAATCTTTGTAATATCTTTAATATATAGTTCAAAAGGATACTGTATATCATTTCAACGAAGGATCATAATGAAGAAGATTTTTGAGAAAGTTTTGCTTCATATGAATACAAAAAGGGTCTGAAAATAATACCCATTGTTGAAGACTTGAAATTCCAAAAACTAGGGAAGTTTTGTGAACCAGATAAGTATCTTGTTTACATAAACTTCGGATTACTTGTGTTTTCAATCAGAAGTTTTTTAAAATTATTTTGCAAATGACCAGTGGCATTTAAGTAAATAAATTTACAAGATTTGTTTTTATATTTTTCAAAAAATAGCTATGTTTGAAATTAGAAATCGTGGACTGTAACCTACAGTACCTGCATGTTGTATAAAGTGTTAAAAGGTTGTACTTAGTATGTGTTGATATTGATGTAAGTGATTTTGATAAACTTTGATACGTTAAAGTTCCTTGGGGTTATTTGGTATTGAGTATACATCACCTCGAGAATTTATACTGTTGTACTATGAAGCAAGTAAACGCAAGTTTTCAAGAACTTTCTACAAATGAATTGTCAAATTGGTGAAACAAATAATTTATAAAGTATGTTATTCATTCATCTGAATGGTTTGTGACAGAGAAGCCATAAATATAATGTGATTACAGCATGTTATTATTTTCACCATGTTTTGTATCAATGAATTTCCATTTAAAGGATATCTCAGAAATTACATTTTAAATGTAAATTATATGGAGATAACAAATAATATTCAAGATCAAATTCCATAAAACAATACAAAACATGAGCAGAGCAAACACGGACCTCCAAAACATCAGATCAGGAGCCATGGAGTGAGCATTCCCTGCCGACAGGTTACACCCGTTGTGTGTGCTCCTTGTCATGATCGGGAAACAACAGAAAACTCGTCAATTCAGTGTATAAATAATTGACTATCAATTTCATGAAAAAGTGTAGTGTTTATCATGATAAATTGTATTTACTGAAAAAGTTTTTATTGAAAGAACTTTGGACTTTGAATAAAAAATGCTAATATTTGTTTTTGTGCATTTACTTTTTCATTAAGTTGAAAAAAAGCGTTTGATGCTCAAGATTATCCACCAATGTTTTCAATTTTATATTTTTAAACTGGTAAAGGAGTATGTACATGTAAGGAAATTAATATGTCAGATGCTTGAATTCACGAAGAATGTTTTGACAAATTTAACAGCAATCAATTTAAAAAGGTTCTATTCAAAAGTCATTCTTTTTAACCACTTGACCTTTTTGGCACACAAAGTCACCCATTTTCGATGTTCTTTGTTATTAGAGCTTGTTACCAGAAACACTATTAACTCAAGCATATCAGTATCCTACATAAGCAGTAACAAAAGTTCTTAGTGTCAATCAATTTACAACAACACAAAACTGTAACAATTATTCAACATGTGGAAGGAAGGGAATGGACAATTACAAGATAATAAAGAATGTTTTAATAGAAATGATTTATTCTTTTAAAAATATAATAACAGCAAACAACAATCATACAAAAGTTAGAAAATAAATCTAAAAAATAACAACAGTTTGTGGATTTATCTACTCAGCACCACAATATAACAAAAAGTACAACAGCAAAGACAACATTCATGTCTTACTGGGACAATTCTCGTCATTTACACAGGGTTCCCGGCTGTAGGACCGACCAACACACGGGCGGCCGCCATGTCGTGGTCGGGGATTAGTGCAGCTGCGCGAACGAATTGTAGTTCCGCTTTCACAACGAGGCGCGTTACACCTTCCTTGTGTTGTCCACGATGTCCAACCGCCATGTACTAGAAAAAAAGCAGATTGAAAACTGGTGTACTAATAGCATTTTCATTTCAACGACTTGTAAAATTGTATATTATGATACAAGTAAAACAATAAGTGTTGTTTTTATATTTCTTATTTCAACATTCGTCGTTGTACTAAAATAAGATATACCAAACAAGCAGTTATACCTGGGCATTGTTTGTTAGCAGTGCAGTCCCTGGTATCTGTGGCGGATCCATCACATTCTCGCCCACCAAACAGAGGACGCGGACTGTCGCACGTGCGCGTACGCGTCACCATTCCCGTGTCACACGTGACGGAACACTCACTCCAAGGCCCCCATAGAGACCATCCACCGTGCACTGAAAGGATACAAACGTAAATACACAATCAAACAATGATCCTTAATAGATTTATATATAATTTATATATATTTTTTTTAATTTGTACACTATTAAATTATAAAAATAGTGAATTTATATTTTAAAATTTTCACAAGGGAAAATCTAAACATCAAGGAAATATGAATGATACTAGCATTCACTATAATTATAGTTTTTTGCTATTTTGAATTTATCTTTTTAAAACACTTTATTTCCTTACGCGGACAGTTTCTGTTTTTACAGCGTTTTTCCTGGTACGGCACCCCTTTACACTCTTTTCCTCCAAATTGAGCCGGCGGGTCGTCACATTTCCTCGTTCTCACCATCGTTCCTGACCCACAAGTGGCGCTACACAGAGTGAATTGTGACCAAGCTCCCCAATTTCCGTCAACTTTAATTAGAATAAATACTTAGCTTATAAAATATTTGTAATTAATGAATGTGATCAATTTTTAATAACGTATGTATTTTTAAAAAGAACTGTTCATAACTAGGGTAAGTAACGTTCAAATTGGACGTGTACTTGCTTTAATCCCACCACTCAGTCATTGTTCTCGTTGCTGCTTATATGCTTTATTAAATAATTTACCAATAAATTGTATTTTAAAAGTAAAATGCTGACAATAATTAATTAGCTTGTAGGATAAAATCTTATAAAAAAGAAATAACACATTGACAAACTCATAAACTAATAAAGGAATAGTACACTCATTGAAAGTTCTCTTTTTATCAGCGTATCAATGAACCGAATCAATTATCAAAACGCTCAGTGTGAAAAAATCTACCATTATACCAGAAGTCTCGAAAAAATTGCTTCAATATATTTTACCAAGCAATGAAACATCAGTCCAATAGAGTATATGCAAGTCTCATTTTCGCAATACCATCTACATGTACAAACAAGAGGCCCATGGGCCACATCGCTCACCTGAGCACTGTGGCTAGGAAAAAGTAGCAACTGGTTTATTATTGAAAAGTTTAAATCCAAAAATAGTCCCATGACCAGTCATGGCTTTGCTATTCTTGAGAAGATGATTTTTAAAGAATTTTCCCATATATTTCTATGTAAAACTGTGCATCTTGCCATTTTGGCTTCAAGCCAATACGGGGGTCATGATTTGAACATACTTGAATTTTTTAACAATATATATTTTCAATTATGGCTTTGCTATTATTGAGAAGATTTATAACTAAGAATTTCTATATAATATATGTAAAATTGTGGTCTGATATATTGTGGCCCCGCCCTACCCCCAGGGGTCATGATTTAAAAAAAACTTGTAATCTACACTACCTGAAATGCTTCCATATATAAATATGATCAGTTATGGCTTTGCTATTGTTGAGAGGAAGATTTTTAAAGAATTTTCCTGTATATTTTTATGTAAAACTGTGGTCTGCCATTTTGGCCCCGCCCTACCCCCGGGGGTCATGATTTGAACAAACTTGAATCTACACTACCTGAGGATGCTTCCATATAAATATGACTAATCATGGCTTTGCTATTTTTCCTATATAGAAGAAGATTTTTAAAGAATTTTCCTATATATTTCTATGTAAAACTTTGGTCGGCCATTTTGGCCTCGCCCTACCCCCGGGAGTCATGATTTGAACAAACTTGAATCTACACTACCTGAGGATGCTTTCATATAAATATGACCATTAATGCCTTTGCTATTCTTGAGAAGAAGATTTTTTAAGAATTTTCCTAAATATTTCTATGTAAAACTGTGGTCGACCATTTTGGCCCCGCCCTACCCCCGGAGGTCATGATATTAACAATTTAATATCTACATCACCCATGGATGCTTTCACAAAAGTTTCAGCTTCCCTGGCCCAGTAGTTCTTGAGAAGAAGATTTTTAAAGATTTGTTCTATATATTTCTATGTAAAACTTTGGTCGGCCATTTTTATTTCGTCCTATCCAAGGGGGTCATGATTTGAACAAACTCTGAATCTACACTACCTGAGGATGTTTCAAACATAAGTTTCATCTTTCCTGGCACAGTGGTTCATATTTGAGAAGAAGATTTTTAAAACATACCACCAAATTTTCATTAATTCCCAATTATCTCCCCTTGAATGAGGGCGTGGCCCTTCATTTGAACAAACTTGAATTCCGTTCACCCAAGGATGCTTTGTGGCAAGTTTGGTTGAAATTGTATTCAATTGGTTCTTGAGAAGAACGAAAATGTGAAAAGTTTACAGACGGACAGAAAGACATTTGACAGAAAAACAGACAGAAAATGGACAAAATGTGATCAGAAAAGCTCACTTGAGCTTTCAGCTCAGGTGAGCTAAAAAGGCAAAGACAAAGAACTTTAATCAAACTCATAAATCTTGCAATCAATATGAAACTCGAACAGTACAAAACACGGAACATGGAAACAGATGGTATACGGTCTTAAGAAAAACAAGTTTGGCCGACCGATCACACCTTCTGGGAGCACAAATAGTACCCATTTCATTTTCAACAAATTACATACATAGTTGTTACCAATGAATAACATGCCGCATCTTGTTAATTAGCTTCAAGCCAATACTGATCATGAAGTTCTATATACTTAATTTTTTAACAATATATATTTTCTGTATTTTATTAATCTATGATGCTGTCTATATAACTATATCATATTTCAATCATAATATATGATGCAGTTTTGGATTCTCGATATATTAAGTCAGTGCATCCGTTCTAAACAAATACTTGCAAGCAGAACTTGTTGCCTATCCAAACCAGGAATTGTAATCACAATTCCAAAAATAAATTGATTTGGGGGATTACCTTTGCATGGGTCCTCGTTACATGGTTCCTCTTTGACTCTCAGCCCGGGGCAATTTTTGCCTCCGTGTGTTGGTGGCGGATAGTTACAACGTCGAACCCTGGTACGGGTCCCGCCCCCACAATCAGCTGAGCACTGACTCCACCCCATCCAGTTACCCCAGTTACCATCCACTAGAAAAAGGTCAAGGTCAGTATAGCAATTTAATTGGCTGAAAGGTCTACTATATATGACATGTGCATGTTTATAACACTATACGTAATCGCTATAAATGTCATTTGAAAAAAAGGAGTACTAAAATGTTATGTGAGGATATTGTTTCCGCTGCATAAAAATGTCATGTTGCAAAATCATTTTCAAAGCCATTATATAACTATTGCGTGCATTCAGACAACATCGGTAAAAGATGGGCGTCAAACCGTCTGGTAATGGAAGTGGAAGCAATCTTTAATAATATTAAACTAGAATCTTATAAGATGTTATTTATCTTCCTTTTTGCTTTAACCGTTAGACTCTATATTAAATTGTTCAAAAAGAAATATAATTTGGCACAAATTGATCATGGAATGCCCTTAATGAACCTTTCCGCCTCGTTTATTGATAAAAGTAAACATTTCGAATATCATCCTGTCTTTTAAGTGTTGTATGTAACTCACTCGGGCAGTAGAAGTTATCGAGGCAGGGCTCGGACTGGACGTAGTTGAAGTGATTCTTATCACAGTCATCGCATTTCCTGTATCTGTTCCGCCACCCGTATCCACACGTCACGCTACAAGGGTTCCATCGGCCCCACTCAGGTAGTTCTGTAAAATAGTAGAAAAATCTTACTGCTTAGGGTCTATTGATATGATTTAAATAAGGACAGATGATACAAACAAAAAATAGATGCCTGGATCGGTATATATTTTTGACCTATTTTGATTGTAAATTACAGTGTTTGAGAAGAGCCATAAAGAACTACGAACTCTAACTCTTAATTCCCGCCTACATTTTGCACCCATTAAAATCAATATTAATGGCAATTTGGCCATTAAATCTTTGTTTAATACAAAGAACAGTTCTATGGTAATTGATTGATCATTTTAATTCCAGCTCTAGTTTAGTAAATTATCATTAATTCCAGATCTTGAAAAAAGGGGGGTAGACGATATTTTCTAGTGAAATCGGACTTTCAAGAATCACCATATTTTGAAATAGTCTTAAATATGATAAAATGTATCTCATGTCTTTTCTTATGTTTTACGCAAATAAATAAAACATATAAATTAATAAAATACAATTATTTAGTTGTAAATAGCTTTAAAATTGGTGAAAAAGCAGCATTTTTTCGTTGTTTTGTCTACAAACATATGTTCCCCCCAGTGAAACACAAAAAGCTTTGGCATAAATTTGTAAAATGACAGTCCATATAATCTGTAAAAAGGAATTTTTGTTTCACGGGGGGGGGGGGGGGGGGGGAAGATGTTTTAAAAATATTTTCCGTTTTCCGTTGATTTCCATAGTGAAAAACACAAGTTTTACCAAAATTATACAGTTATCTCACTTTGGTATCCCAAAAAAGAAACGTTTTATGAAAATTCATATAAATATCTATAAAAAATTTTGAAAATCATTCAAATATGTTAACTTTTGAAAATTGACTTAGAGGTAGGCGGGAGAACAATACTATCGTTCGTAGTTCTTTCTATTTTGAATTCGTTCCAGTCGATAGGTTGATTTTTGGGAAACAGTTGCATATGAAATCTGCATCATGCACCAGTGATCTCTGCGGTCTAGACAATGCAAAAACTGCACATTTATAGGTCAAAAAAAAAACCGGTAAATACGTACATATATATATAACAACAAGCATTTAAACGTTATAAATAGTCAGCAGCAAAAAGGGATAACTATTTCAAGAATTTGATATTCAAAATATGGTTTAGCTGTGGTGCTTGAGGGGGGGGGGGGGGCTGTCGGAAATGGAAAAGGGTACGCACTTCGGATCTTCACTGTACCGGTAGTAATTTCAGGTGTGAGAGTTGGGGAGTAAGCGATAATACAGACAATGAACTTCGATCTACACTTACCTGTGGTAATTTCAGGTGTAGGTGGTAGAGTCGGGGCTGGGGTTGTCTTTAGCAGATCACTACATGGTGTGCATTGATATTTATTTCTTCCCCCAGCTTTAACCTATTAAATTTTAAGATTGATGTACATTAAATATTCAATTTATAAACACAATAAAATGGAACCTTATCAAAGGAGAAAGTCTTTTTAAAAAATACAAATAATGATTTTTTTTATTTACCACTGAAACAGCAAATCCTTTGCCTTTTTTGGCGCAGCATTTTTCTGGTGTAGAGAATTTCCTCCTGTTTTTCAGTGGTCCTTTACAAAATTCTTTTCCTCGTTTTTCTCTGTATTTTCGGAAACATGTAAATTGTGCTGCAAAGCAAAATATATTAATTTGAATTTAAAAGAATTCATTAAGTAACACTATAATTTCATTTCATTTAATTACACATGTCCAAAGGTTCTGTACAAGGTTAAACATTGTTATATTTCAATCACTTTGATTTAAGCTACTAGTAATTCTTTTAAGAAGATAATATGAATATTCACTTTACGGTTTCATTATGTCTTTGAATTTTTTTTTACACATATTAGTATAAACACATAATAAAATGAAGCGATTAAAAGCCATTGTTGCTCTCTATTTCTAAAAAAATAAACAACAAAAATTGTTAACTTGTTATCAACATCGAACGAACTGACATTGATATGACGAGTACAGTGCACACTTTGAGAATGAATAGTTACATATACTATGATATGACGAATTTTTCCTGCACAAATGGCTTGGGAATATCTATACCAGTTAGCGCAATTTTCGACAATTACCAGGAATCGACCCCGGGAGAATAATTCTGATGATCTCAGACAATAGAACTTAATGTCCCGCCAAGAACTACGATCGATTTCACGTCAAAAATCAGGGGGGCTTAAAGATTGACTTCTACCGAACGCAGTCCAATTTCTGCAAACACACTAAAAACCCGATCGGTCTCTTTGAAATGTTTGCCAACTTGATCAAAATTATTACAAACTTAACAATCAAACGTTTCTGGGTAATATTAAATATCACTTTCACCAAAGTTTTGGAAATTTTACGGTGAATTCACAATGAGTGCTTCTGTACTCGTGAATTATATGGCAAGTCTATGATTTTCCGCCAAAAAGAAGGAAATATTTCGCAGACAGTCCCAGAGATTGACGTAAGCTAGGGTGTAAAGGCCGACTTCCAGGAATAATGCCATTGTCTGAGTCATACAAACAAAAGAACACAGATGCCCTGTCTTCTTTGATTCAGGAGATATCTTGCTCGTTCAGACTAAACGATATAGATTTCTCCAAATAAACACTCACTGTGCGATATTTTACTTCCCTTTTCCAATTCTATTTTTTTAATTAATTGTTTTACCACCCTGGCTTATCCATTTCTTGGATACATTTCGGCGACCTTATTAATTCCCTATACTATATACTATACATACGTACATACGTAATACAATTTCGTTTTTTTTTTAATTTTGTTGAGAGATCTACAATGTCGGCACATTCTGCAAGAATCTATACAAGTCTCAAAATCATTCGTCTTTGAAAAGTTGAAGAAAGGAAAACTAGATATCGGAGCTGCAGAACTTTCATTTGACGAATCGAGTTTAAAAAAGTAAATTCTTAATGGAAATCAAAATTAATTAAGCCTTACAAAATTATTCATATAAAAAAATTAGTTTCCCCAATATAAGATTAAGACTAAAGAAAGATTCATGTTATAGAAGCTGCCTTGTTAGATACTAATTCAGAACTAAAATTTAAAACAGAAAATGTGTGGCAAAGGAGGAATTAAAAAAATTTTGAGAAAGGTTCATAAAATGAAAGAAAATTATTACTCACCATCCATCACAATAATTTCCAAGGCCACAAGAAACAGAAAAAAGATATGTACATCTAAACGCTTCATGTTCACTGGATTTTGTGCATTAACCACTATACGTTACAAAAGTAAAATGGAGCAGATCGATATACGGACGGAATGATCAAGTATTGGAAAACGTTTTTGACACAAAACTTCCCTCTGGGGATCGCTGCCTTTGTTCAGAATATACGTGTTAATTTCTATAGGCTACAGACAATGTATAGATACTTAACTGAATGGGGTAAATAGAGTAGTACGTGGTAAATAAATATAACATGCAGGTGGGCGCGGGGGCGGTTCTTATTTATGTACCACGTGTTTACAATTTTGTCTCTGTATTTCTGTACCCCCTCAATGAATCATAGTGGGGTTACTATCCCTTAGTCTGATTCTGAGGTTAGTGCAGTATGATACTCCTGTATCAAATTCATACACAGTATATATAGGTGCAATGATATGACTGCCAAAATACCACGAGTGTCATATCTCGGGGGAATTATGTCTACTGTCCTGGATTACCCCTAATGTACTCGGGTTGTATCACACAATTTAAATATTTATATGTCAGTTTATATCACACTGAAAAAAAATGTTTTAATCGGAATGAGTTTACTTGCATGGTGTGCAAGACATTCACCGATGTACATAATGCAAAATTTAAAAGTTTAGAAGATCAACACAATTATTTATCCTTCAGATGAAAGGAAAACCTTCACTGAATCCTTCTATTTTGATTGTCGTTTATAAAAGACCTTCTTGCAACAATCAAAATAAATCGGAGATAGTGAAGGGTTGAATTTAATCAGACTGCATATTTACTATATGGCTTGCGTGAATGTACACGGATTTTAAAGACAAATACTATAATTCACGTGCAATGTATATTTTTGAGTACATTTAACTCTTAAACAATGTTTTGCGTACACTCGTACCTGAAATAATTTACTGCATTTTTGCATTTGTTTTATTAATGCTGTCAACTTTTCTTGTCATAACACACCTTTAAAACTTCCTATCATATTTATTATTTTATGGGCAAAACATGCCTTCCCTAACAAGTCAGATAGGCTTAAAGTGCGTGTACAGACTTTTTGACCATGAAAATTCTGGATCGAGGCAAAGGAAGCATTTTTTGTTGATGATAACCTCTCTCTCTCTCTATCTCTCTCCCCCTTTCTCTAGATAAAAAAACACTGAGTCAGACATGAAAAAGAAAGACGCAACGCATCTCTCTAATGTAGAATTAAGCTCGTCATTAAAAACATGTATATACTTTAATTTATGAGGAATCTGAATGTCATAATATAAATAATTTATTATAATATATATATAAAAAATTCCGTGTTTTTTTTTTAAATCTACTACAAACATTTTTCGTAAACAATAGCATAGCATGGAACAATCGACCGTAACTAATAAAATTGAATCGTCTTTTTTAAAAAATGGCAATGTACCCGTAAATAATTTTAATTCACATTAGGTCAAGCGTAGGCCTGAAACCGAAGTCGTACAAGATACAAGATATTTTTATTTCTCAATCAAGGGCCCCAAAGGGCATTTAAACATACAAAGTTGCACAATTTAAATATATTTTACGATATAATCTATTTTTTTTTTAAAAATAAAAATTAATATAAATGACAAAGTTACATTGAAATTAAGAGTTAATTTTTGTTTTGGCAAGACTTGCCAAATATTTATCAAAAAGAAATAAAGTACATGTATACAGTATTTCGATAAAACGCGTACGGTAAAAAGTCCATTTCTAGCAAACATATCACCAAATTAGTTCCTGCCGTCATGTCTTTGACAGGCACATAGCATCGGAGGGGGGTGGGGGGTCCACAAAATACAGAATAATTTGCTATTGAAAATGCTCATTGAAAGGCTGATTGGCCCCTCCACTTTTTGTTGCAGTGAAGTCAAATAAGGGTTATATAGAGTAATACAGGACTGAAAGAAATTTTGAAAATTATTTGGAAGGAATAGGTCAAGAAGCCCCCCCCCCCCTCCCCAATAAAGTTTGGGGAAGTTCCTGTTTTTTATTTACTCGTCAAGTTTTTCAGGTAAGTTGATTTTCTTTCTGGCTGCCCCCGTCTTTCAAAAACTCTAAAAAGTCACTGTTTGAACACATTTGCTTACTGTTTTCCGTAAAAACAAACTAAAACTACATGTGTCTAGAGTTCCAAATTCTACAGTATAGTATCTTCTATCATTTCCTCTATTTTTTCTACTCATCGAAAATATTATTCAAAATTTGCTAAATATGGTTTGGAATCTTTGAATTCCGGGACATTGCAAATGGTCTGTGAAGGAACGATAGACAATTAACCAAGTATAGCCCAACAGTCTGTCAAACCCACTGTATCCTAGAGTGAACAGGAAGTGACCTTATCTCTAACATCTCCCTACCCCCCCCCCCCTCTTTCCCCTTTTTCTACCCTATTTTCTTCTTGATCAAAATAACTCTGTCGGCTCCATTATATAAGGGGCGTTAAGAAAGTTCGTTCCATGGTGAAATATTTTTGAAAATTTCAAAATATACTGTTTAACTAATTAAAGATATGAAATTTTCAGTCTGACATAATCACAAGATTGTGCTTTAGATTTATAGCAATGAAACATTTGGAGATAACGAACGGTATTCAAGATCAAAAGTCCATAAAACAGTACAAAATACATGTAGAAGCAAAGCAAACACCGATCTCCAAAACATCAGAGGTGGGATCAGGTGCCAATTCATTTCTAGCAGGAAGTTATAAGGGTTTTTTTTTTCATATAAAAAATATATATAAACATCTTTAGAGCACCGAAATGACACAAATGTTGGTCATTGTGTGAAAATATAGGATTATTTATTTTTGATTCTTAACAGCTTTTCATGCATCACACAAACCTGATGAGCTTATAGGTATAAAAAAGATTAATCACTTTTTGAAAGATTGAAATTCTAAATAACTTCTCATTAATTGTAGTTCTTTTCGAAAATGAAAGTGCAATGTGGAATGAAGTTCTTAACACCCTTTATACGAATATATAAAACAACACCGAAATTGTTTAAATATTGAAAATGAAACTGAAAACTCCTGAAGATTGAAAGTGAAACAGAAAACTCCTGAATATTAATTGACCGTGAATTTAACGAAAACTCCCAAAGATTAAAAATGAAATCGGTAGAGTTAATTTCGGTGTTGTGATTTCTTTGATATACAATTACAAATTATTGTTTTTTCATACTCAACTTTAAATAATGAAATTCAAAACATTTTTAGAAAATAATTCATTCAGTATCATTTTCATAAAGGGGCATAACTCTTTTTCATTGATTTAATAGAAAAAATACTTCCCTTTTTCAATGTCAATGAAATTAATCAATGAGGCAGTGCCTCAGAAACTACTCGTACATGTATATTCTATAAACTATACCGGTAGATTGACATTAAATCTTTTTCATTGATTTAATAGAAAAAATACTTCCCTTTTTCAATGTTAATGAAATTAATCAATGAGGCAGTGCCTCAGAAACTACTCGTACATGTATATTCTAAAAACTATACCGGTAGATTGACATTTTTGGCCATCCTTTGTCAAAGCTGAGCTGACATTTTTTCTATCGTCTCCTGTTAAATTACTGTCCTCCATTTTTGCCCCTTTTCATATTGATTAATTGAATAAAAGAAAATTAAAATAACTTCAATAAATATTTATTTTTAGTTTGCTATAAAAGATTCTGACAAAATTCCACATATCAGAAATAAACAGAATTTCATTTAAATCTGTCAGAACTTTGTGAATAAATAACAACTAAACAATTCGTATTATACATATATTACTTCCTCTTTACTATGTCATACATCAAAATCTAAGATTATAATAAGTCTTTGCTCTTCTAAAGAAGGCCTTTTGTTACAAAATAAAAATGCTGTAGGTCATTACATAGAAAGAGCCATTTCAGTACATTTAATGTTCAATTCCATACTACGGTAATTACTTTGATGCATAAAATGTGTACTTCCTATCAAATCACTCTGAAATGAGAAATGCTGTTCAAGCACCAAATTTGGGTAACAAGACCAGATTTCATATCTATGTTATTATTCCAATTATTTGCTAAAACTGGACAGAAAAATATGCGAAAAAATAGCAACATAGAAATTTGTTACACTCCGTTTTATATGCTGGAATTGTGTTGCTGGAAACAACATTCAGAAACTCTTACTTATACTATCATAAACCTACAACTAATAATTATATGTAAGGCCCTAAAGGAATGTCCTATATGTTTAAGCTTTCTTAGTTACGAAACACTGGGCACTTTTTACCATACATTTATGTGTATCTTTGTAATTTCCCCATTCGTGGGTATTAAACAGTTGAGATCTTACGATACAATATTTTCATATTTGGAAAAATATGTGTGAATTCTCATTACAATAAAATATTTTATCTAGAATCAACTAGATATAATTCTCAACCAAGACAATAAAAATTGATCATACAAAATCATAATAAATTTAATGAAAATTCTGTTGTGATATTTTTAAAAGGAAGTGGCACTATACTCTCATATACATGTATAATATCTTAAATTTGGCACAAAATATCGATTACTTAAAAATATGCTGAAAAATTAATTGTACTGTGATACAATGTAGCTAGCTGGCAAGAGCAATCACAAATCTTCATGTCATGCAAACAGATCTTGCTGATTATTTACAAAGCACAGCTTCACATGACCATATCTTCTATGGATACATTATCTCCATGTGGAGACAAAGATACTACGTAACAATGGAATCTCTTTCATTTAAAATTCGAACTTTTCTATAAAACATCAGAGTTGAAGTAGCACTATTCTAAATCAGTGGGAGAGAACGTCTCTAATTCACGCTGTCTCTGCATAAGATTCTGAAAAAAAAAATTCTCAGTTGTTTAATGCCAATGATAAAATTGTTTGAAAAGAATTCTGTCATACACATTTAAATCAACACTCTCAGCCAAAGCAACTACTAGTACTATAACTGAAAATTCTATATAATATGCAGGTAAAAAAAAATCACAGCAATATGGAATGACATAAGACCTGATGACAACTTTAAGTGCAGATTTTTACAGAATTGTTCTCTAACTTTAATAAAACAGTTTTATTGTAGGAACTGACCTCTCTCATGGTAGACAGCTGCTGTAAGATGGCATCCTGTCTCTGTGTCGGGTGATCTGTGACTAGTGATGGGTTCAGGATGGGGTCCTGAAAGCGGTACAGATAAAGTAATCTAACAAGTACAAATAGTAAATAAAATAATTGTACTATGTAATGAAGGTTTCACGTAAGTTTCTTTGTTTTCTCCACCAATCAAGTGGCTTGCAAAGTAAATTTTTTAAGATATTTCCTATGTATTACTATGTGAAACCTTAATTTCCAGTTGACTGTGCTAGTGAGTGTCATCCTATCCCCCAGGTTCATGTATGAAAACAAGAGGCCCAGGGGCCAGATCGCTCACCTGAGCAACTGGCTAGGTAAAAGCAAAAATTAGTTCAGTATTAAAAAGTTTAAATATACCGGTACAGTGTACATACTAAAAAATGGGTTCTGGGGAGGGGGGGGTATTTAAACAAACTTAAATTTACACTTCCTTAGAATGCTTTTGTGATGCATTATGGTTTTGTTGTTTTATTGATATAGCCTTTATATTCATTTGTCCACTTTATGGCTCCTCTATTCTCCTGAGTTTCAAATCTGTTACCTTTTTTTATGCTTTTAAATTGATGATCAATATCATGATGGCTTTGTGAAGAAATTTAATGATTTTTCCTATGTATTCCTATGTAAAACCTTGATCACCCATTGTGGCCCCACCCTACCCCCTGGGGTCATGATTTGAACAAAATTGAATCTTTCCTTTCAGAAGATGCTTTTGCATGAGTTTCATCTTTCATGACCCAGTGAATCTTGAGAAGATTTAAAGATTTTTCCTAATTATTCTTATGTCGAAATTTGGTCCCCCATTGTGGCCCCACCCTACCCCCTGGGGTCATGATTTGAACAAACTTGAATCTACACTACCTGAGGATCCTTCCACATGAGTTTCATCTTTCATGGCCCAGTGGTTCTGGAGAAGAAGATTTTTAAAGATTTTCCCTATGTTTTCCTATGTTAAACTTTGATACCCCATTGTGGCCCCACCCTACTCCCAGGGGTCATGATTTGAACAAACTTGAATCTACACTACCTGAGGATGATTCCATATGAGTTTTATCTTTCCTGGCCCAGTGGTTCTTGAGAAGAAGATTTTTAAAAGATGACATTAATTTTTCACTATTTCATAATTATCTCCCCTTGGCCCTTCATTTGAATAAACTTGAATTCCCTTTACCCAAGGATACTTTGTGGCAAGTTTGATTGAAATTAGCCCAGTGGTTCTTGAGAAGTATGAAAAAAGTCCAAAATCAGCAAGGATCTGAATTTGGCAATTTTTGTATTTTTAGCTCAAATGAGCCATATGCACTGACTCAAGCAAGTTTTTCCGATTCAAAAAGCGTCCAATTTAAACCAGAATTACCAACAATCATCACTGCGCAAAACGGATTCAGGTTTCTTTAAGTGAATTTAGGACTATGCAATTTTTCAAGTTTACACAATATTTCTTACTTTTTGCCTCCTCTCATTGGGCAGCCTCATCCTATCCTGATAGGTGTCCACCCTGTTGCCATAGTTACCAGGCTTCATCCCCTTAATGTAAGCTTTTCTGGCATTGGCCACTTGTGTTGCCTCTCTTGAGAGTGGCATTGGCGAGGAAGCCTTGGCGGGGTCCAGTATATCAACAGTCCTCAGAAATGGCACAAAGTCACTGTTTCCCACAGGGATTTCCAGTGGATCCCCATCGTTATATTTACTATTCACCACCCTAGTCCCAATCCCTGAGGCATCATAGTCTATTGCTAGATAATTAGAATTCCTATCTGTGTTCCTATTTCGTAGAGCAGGAATAGGTGGGGACCGTCTCCCAGTGGGAACAGGTGAGATGGAATGATGACTGACGGGAGACTTCCTGTTTGGGGGGGAGTCAGTCCTTTCTAGTGTTCTAGTGGCTGTCCGGGAGTCACTCCTATCTGGAGAGTGGGATCTAGCTCTTCTTACACTATAAGCACTGTATTCCTTCACTGTACTCCTAGGAGTGCGGCCCCCCTCTGAGAAGGGAGAGTGTTCCCGTGAATGCCCCGGGGTCCTGTTCTGCCTTTCCGTGGGGATAATATCCCTGTTTTTCTCCACCATCTCCAGAAGTCGCTGTTCCCTTTGTTGCCTTCTTACTCGACTCTCCTCCTTTTTCTTCAGATATAAGGGATCTTTCTCTGACTGTTTGATTGGCTTCTTTAGATTTTTATTTTGGTAATTCCAGAGTTTTTTATCTTTCTTTTTCTCTGCGGCTTTCTTTCTGGGAATTTCTCTTTGTTCTCGGTTTTTCTGGAGTTCCTCTTTGGGAGCGCTCTTCACACGTACTCTCTTTCCATTCACTAACTTGTACATAATGCCCACATCAGTGGCTTCTCTCTTGGTCTCTAAGGCTCTTCTTGACTCCAAAGGAGTATCTTCTACAGAACAAATAAAAAAAATGCAAATCAATGTTATTTTACGTTATCTTCTGTTTAATATAAAATCATATGGCTTTTTCAATTTTCAGTCCATCAATATCAATTAGTTTTATTAGTCTCATATTTGTGTCCTATTTGTCTTTCTAATTCTCATAATCATGAAATGGTTAAACTCAATTACACAGATAATTAAAATCTAGCAATGGACATACAAAAACAAAATAAAAAAAGTCACACAATTACTCAAAATCTGCTCACACAGTAAAAATAAACTATGCTACTCATTGGAAATACATGTGAAAGTTAAATGAAAATGATGGATGATATTATTTTTGACTGCACAGGATTCTCAAGTACTCATGCAGTTTTAAATACATATGACTGTGTGTAAACATTTTTCAAAATAATGTTCTATTATACTCATTATAAAAATCCACTTTTCTAGAAATGTTGCAGTTTGATAAAACATAAATTAAATGTAAATTTTTGTTTTCAAAATTTTCTTTATATTTGAAATTATAATCAACTTTTTGTGATATAAGGTAAATATAGTATTGTAGGTTAAAACTAGAGGTACTGTGAGCAATGAGCTCACTAAATGATACCCCCCGCCTCTCATATGATTATAATGGAAGAAGTCCATGTTTTGCTGTGGCCGGAAAACCCAAAATATGTGTCGGATCAAAAAATAAAATAGGAGGTGCACAATGGCAATATGTAATAAAGATTCTGTGAAAGTTTCATTAAATTTCACTCAGTGGTTTAAGAGGAGTTGCGGATAAGAGATGGGTACCCCAAAGTGTAACAGACGGACGGACGGACAGCTAGACGTACAGACGGACGGACATACCGATTACTATATACCCTCCCACTTTTCAAGCGGGGTGTATAAAAATTGGTACTGAAAGAAGTTGGTATTGGAAAAAGTTGGCTTCTACCCAGCTTTAACAAATAAAACACAATTAATTTTTAACATATTTAATTTTAGCAATCTTAATACCCTTGCTAATAATATCAAAATTAAAATTCTGGCTATAACCCTCTGCTAAAAAGTACACTAGATTAAAGGAGTACTTAAATAATTCAACTAAAGAATCGTTTTAGCTGAATATAATAATACAAAAATCAAATAGTTACACAGGATGGACAATGAAGTGTATGAAGATAAAATAGATTCACACAAAACACATTGAAGCAACAACAAATGTGTTGATGTGATGCTACATGTAGATATTAGTGCAAGCTGCTTTTATTGTCTTTAAATTGCATAATGACCTAATGTGGAAAACCAATTAGTATTTGCATGTTGTCTGTTTTTATCTTTCATTTTAACTGTGTAAGATACAAGAAATATTACTTCTCAATTTAAGATACAATTAGCTTTAGATTAATTCAGTATAAAGATACAGAAAATAAGAAAACACTAAAGGAGAATTTAATGATTATACCAGAAATAAAACAGAGAGTAGAAGTAGGAATCATAAATTTTTGGGATAGGAATGGGAGCAAAGGGTGCTCCATTTGTAAACAACATGCAAATAAAAAGCTCTATACACACCATCTCTATCAGTGTCCATCTGATATTGAGCATTCATACCAGTCTGAGTGCCAAACTCGGATGTGTGGCCGTGTTGTCTGTATTTATTGGGGGTTAAGACTCGGTTTTCGATGTAATGAGGTTCGTGGTACGAGTCCTTCTGTGTGTACTGGGCTGTTGGTGGACCTATAGCACGGGGAGATAACTCCAGATCCAGACCAGGAACTTGACTGGGAACAATGTGGTTTGGGTCTCCTCTTGGGGTTATTTTTGCTGAAAGTAAAGGAATGTCAGATTATTCATAAATATCAATCATGTACCTTTTCATGCACAGGCACTGTATAATGCTTTATTTTTTCTTCATCAATCAAATAAACAAAATGATGAAATAAGATTATTTTCTGCATAATCTTTTCTGTTTGATTGATAAGAAATTAAAATTATATATAAAGTGCCTGTGATTACAGTAAAACTCGTTTAGTACGAACACGGATATTGCAAATTCACGGATATAGCGAATTCATTTTGGATCCCCAGCTATGTAAATTTAATGAATTTCTTATACAGTTAAAACGAATTACGGATAAAGCGAAGTAATTTCAAAGGTCCCAGCAACTTCGTTATAACCGAGTTTTGCTGTATCAACTAAATAATAAAACATAATTTGAGAAATGACTTATAAAGTCATTCATTTTTTTAAACTTTAGACTGAATGTGTTTGATTAATATGCAGGTCATCAACAAATCAAAGGAAAGCTTCAAAAACAGTGCAACTGAGAGAACTGCAGAGCTGCCAACATTCTTAAATGAAAAATAGGAAGGCGGGGTCCGGGTACTGCCTAGACCCCTACATTGTAGCTGCTGGAGATGTTTTGTAAATGGACATGCAATCGGAGCAATTTGAGGAATGTTTCCATTTTGTTTACTTTAAAACATTGACATGAATACAATCAGCCTTCTAAAACTGAAACAACAATACAAGCAAGCGTTATAAGGATTATAAATATTTAATTATCATAGTAGAAACTGTGGACGGCCAGCTATGAAAATTCCAGTATTATAAAACTTTGATGGAGAAAAACAAAAATCAGAAGAATATAGAGAGAAATCATAGGGGTATTTTAGATGCTAATTTCGTAAGCCTTACTCCAAAATCGTAAGGGTTGGCAGCTCTGGAACTGTACAAAAGAATCACATTGTGTAAATCCAACCATTCAAATGAGAACATGGCCAATAATCGTAAATGACTACTTGTGATAATGTTCATGAAAATTTACCCATTACAATGTACATGCTGTGAAATGCAGATATTTTTATTAACAAACTACTGTAACAGCTGTAAAAAAAGAAATCCTTGACGAAAAACCATAATTGAGTCATTAAAATTTCTTGGGGGAGCTGAGGTGTTGGGGAGCAGGAAGGCAGCGATTTAGCAATGACTTTAACTGCTTTGCATGCAGTGTAAGTTAACAGATAGTGCGCTCAGTCAGACAGTGAAGAACAAACCATGCAGATTATACCTAAAGGCTGGGCATTCCGCAAAGTCTCATAGCCCTGACGATTTGTAGGTGCATCTATAACAGAACACATTCATACAAGATACTAAACTTATATAATTTATAATGATAAATTCAGGTTTAACAAACTTGAGATTTTAATCCCAAACTTTCATTTTGTGCCTCTTTGTGCAGTCATACTTCAATGGTCTTTCTTCCTTTCCATAGAGCAATGAGTTCTGCTCTATTTTTCAAATTTACTTAACTTATTACATCTTTCCAATATTGTCTTACTTGAAATCTCATTTTTGAATGTTTGACATTGCTAGTCTTCAAATCACTTGATTATTGTAAGTAACTAAATAACGAGAAAATTATATTTAACTATGAATCTTAAAATTTACAGCAAACTCAAGCATTTCTCATGCACAGTTCAAACATTATCAAGAACAATGCAAATCTCCAACATGTATATGTATTATGTGTAATCTCTAATATTATTTTCCCTTTGAACAGAATGTATGTCACACTTTCATTGGTTTAAATCTGACCCTTGATTGCCCTTTATATACTGTAAATCACTTTTTATTGGCAATTAATGATCTAAATTTTCTTTATTAATCATTGGTGGCAAATTCCCAGTTTTCATAATGGCGCCAGTTCTGATGTTTTCCTAGCACATAAAATACCAATGTTGTAATAAAAACTAGGGAAACATCAGATATTTCAGACTATAAAATTCCTCATATATAAAATAGATACAACATTAATTGATACATGTTATGTGAAATAGATTAGTATGTACATTTTTTTCAGTAACAGATAATACATATTTTAAAAACATCTAAGCTAAACCTAATACTAATGACCAGTGCATGCAATCATGCACTGATGTGCATAACATTAGTACATGTACTTTGGAATTCTGTTTAAAGCATGCAATACTTCCTTCTTATTAGGGCTGAAACGATACACGCCCTCCATGATACGATACGTTTTGCAATACTTGTGTCACAATTCAATTTTTTTGATACGATACGTTTTAAAAAAGAAACAGATCATAAGGTTGAAGAAAACATGTATTCAGATTCCAAAAGATATATAAAAGGTGACGATACAAAAAGAAAACTCTTCTTGTGCTTCTGACGATTAAAATAGCACATCGTCTGTGCAAATTCTAGCAGTGGCAGCCTGCTCTAAAACTTTCTCTGTCTCAATATTCTCTCTCATGAGTGTCAAACTGTCAAAATGAGGCGGACAAAGCCAGTCATTTCAAGGGGTAATCTAACCTGATTATAAAAAATGTATTGAATTGAAAATTGAGGTAGTGAATCGAATATTGAATTGAGGAATTATATTGAACGATATCGATATTTCGATGAATTGTTTCAGCCCTACTTTTTGTACATAAATGGTTATAATTTCCTAATGATCACCCATAAAACTGAATCAATACCATTCATTTGTTGAAATTCCCAATTCAGCTATACATATAAATACATGTATATATACTTGACTGCATGTATTATATATATTTATATGATACTATGTAACTACAAAATTTCAAAACTAGTAAATATCATGCAGATATACACTAGTCATGCAGACCATATTAAATCTACCTCTCTCTGTCAAATCTTCACCAAGTACAGCTAGAATGAACATCAATTAATTCATGTATCATACATCATTTAACAATATGGTATATGTAGGTCAATACCTATTTGAGAATCATTTTTTATTGCTGGCATGTGAAATGTTTTAGAAAAACTTAAATTATTAAAGCTGGTGAAAACAGAAAAATACTAATCTCTAAAACACACTTCTGAAAACCAGACTTCAAAATGTCTCTCCTTTGTAATGAATAAACTACAAGAGAAGTGGTGTGACTAATTACCTGCTAGATTAGCCTTGAGATGGGAGGTGTCATGGCCGCCCTGTTCTAGGTGCTGCATCTTCCTGGAGTACTTCTCTCTCATGGCTTTCTCGTGAGCCTCATCCATGGCCGCCTTCAGACGCTCCACCTCTTCTTGTCTCTTAACCTGCTCCAGAATAAAGTCCATAATGGTTACAATAAAGTTAGTCATGCAAAAATATAAATTTCCTAGCAAGGTAAAATGTCTTCAAACTTAGTTCATTAAGGTTTTCTGTCTCCCAGTGGGATTTCATCTTTTCTATTTACTCTGTACTTAAATCACTTTTTGCGATTCAACTTTATACTATACTTACTCACGTTATAATATATTTTGTTCTTAATATCACTTTACTTATAATTTTTTGGTAAAAATTACTATGCATCTCCTCAAACTATTCATAGCATGTACAATTCATAGCATCTTCAAACTTTAACAGCAAGCAGGTAACAAACTTTACAGACCTCTCTCATCTTCAGCTTGTTTTGTTCCATTTCAAACTGTCGCTGTAGGCGGTCACGCTCTGCCTGAAGTTTTCTCTCCTCCTCTGCATCTTCCGCCATCTTTCGTTCACGCTCCAGTTGTTTCTGTCGCTGCTTCTCCTGCACTTGTTCCATCACAGCCCTCTGAATCAAATAAAATATTGTTATCTGTCACTAGAGTTCCTTCCCTTTGTTTGCTATTCAAGCCATTATCAAAAACAAGAGGCCCACGGGCCTTATAGGTCACATGAGTAACATGTAAAACTTTCCAACAACTGAATTTGGTTTGACTATTTTAAACCATAAGCCTAGCTTGAAATGCATAATTTTGAAAGAGGCACCATTGTTTATCATTACTATACACTTAGCATGTTTATTTTTGTTACTTAATACCCAAGGCAGATCAGAGAAATAGAGAGAAAATGCATTTCCATTGCCACATATTTCAAAATTTTGGAAATTTTATAAATTTCATGTCATCAGAAATGGGTGATTAATATCAAATAGCAGATTTCAAAGTATTACTTTATTTTCAGGCTATATACCCCCCCCCCATGTTCTGCAGTACCCCTAACATAGGGGCCCTGAAATTAACCATTTTGGAAGAGGCACATTTCTTCATCATAAATATATACTTAGATCATTGGCATTATACCAAGGAGAAAAGGAAAACTTTCCAAAGAATTCATGTGTTTTCACAATATAATCATTACAGAGCCCCACCCTAACACCAGAACCCCTGACCCAAGGGTAAAAAAAATCACAAAATTGGGAAGAACCATCCTTCCTCATCATTACTATGTACATAGTTTATTGGTTTTATACCCAGGAGCATAGGAGAAGAATTTTCAAGAATTATGCATTTTCACTATATAATCAACAGAGCCCCCAGCCCCTAACACCAGAACCCCTGACCCTGGGGCCATGAAATTAACAATTTTGAAAGAAGCAGATTTATTCAATTTTACCATGTACTTGGTTAGTTTATTTCATACCCAGGAGAAGAGAAGAAGATTTTTTAAAGAATTAATATATTTTCACTACATAAACAATTAAAGAGCCCCGCCCTAACACCAGAACCCCTCACCCATGGGCTATGAAAATCACAATTTTAGAAGAGGCATTCTCGGTCAGCATAACTATGCACTTTGTTTCTTTGATTATTATCCAGGACCAGAGAAGATTTTCAAAGAACTAATGCATTTTCACTATATAACCAATAGAGCCCCGCCCTTACACCAGAACCCCTGACCCAGGGGCATGAAATTCACAAATTGGGAAGAAACATCCTTCCTTATTATAACTATGTAGTATGTACATTGTTCTTTGGTTATATATCAAAGCACAGAGGAGAAGATTTTTAAAGAATTTATGCATTTTCACTATATAATCTATAGAGCCCAGCCCTAACACCAGAACCCCTGACCCTGGGGCCATGAAATTCACAATATTTGAAAAGGCAATCTTATCCAACATAATTATGTACTTGGTTAGCTTATTTAATGCCCAGGAGCAGAGAAGAAGATCTCCAAAGTAGTAATGCATTTTCTATACAGTATATTTAGCCCCACCCTAGCACTAGCACCCCTAACCCTAGGGCCATGAATTTCACAATTTTGGTAGAGGACTCAATACTGATTACAATCATGCAAACAGTTTGACTGCTTGATGTCCAGGAGTAAAGAAGAAGATTTTTAAAGATTGCACTAATTTAAGTGGTTTTGGCCCCACCCCTCAGGCCCCAGGGGGGCAGGGACCATGACATTCACAATTTTTGTTCCCCTTCACCCATAGATGCTTTGTGCCAAAAAATACGGATAGCAATAGGTCACCTGAGTTTACTCAGGTGACCTAATAATGAAGAACTGTTAGTATAATTTTGATTTTATGATTTGATTGAGCAGTTGGTTTAATTGATAATCTTCATAAACAACAAAGGTGTACATAAATTGAATAGAAAACAGACATAAGAAACAAACAAACAAAAAATTGCTAAAAATAGAATAAAATTTAAGATTTGACAGACATTCAGCCTTACAAGTGTAGGTACAATAGTTACCTGATGCTCTAGCTGTCTCTGTCTGGAATCTTCTAGCTCTTTCTTTGTTACCGGATCCATATAGACATTTTGACCTCTAATGTATGATCTACAACAGAATTTGTACATGGATGTATATTTAAAATAACTATCAATTTGATTATAAAGTGTCTTAATTCAGAATGATAACTTTAATAACTCTCATTGTAATGTCTTATAGGAGTGCCAATTTTAACATTAATGCAATCTTTGGCTTCACAATGGTAAGACTGAACTTTCAGAAAATGGGAATACTCTACATCAGAATAATTATATATGCATTAAAAAAGCAGGAGAAAATTATTTTACTTCACAACAAAGATATCTAGAATTTGTTTTGTAAAGTTCCGGTATAGAGTTTTTCTTACTTGTCTTCGCTGTCATTGATCGTCTGCGACACATTAACAGGAGCACTGCTGATACGATTCGTGTCTGCAGCAGCGTCGACATCTTCACGTCTGACAGTCTCTGGCAGCTGCTCTGGAAGCCGTGCAGGGCGGTAATCGTTAGAAAATTTATCTGCCCAGGTATTCTTCCCTTGGTGTGTACCCTCATAATCTTGGATCTGCTGTTCTCGCTTTTCTTCTCTTTGCCTCTCTTTATTTGCAAAATTAAAATTTTCAGTTGTTTTATAAAATATTAATTTAAAGAGATCGTGAGAGGCATACATTCTTAATTTTTCCTTACATATTTAAATGGAACTCTGAAAATACTAAAGAATGTTTGTTTTCTGTAAAATGGGAAATATTCCAAAGTGCCAAACAAAAATTGGAATGATAAATCATCTTCATCAAAGAATTATTTCCTTAAGGACTCAAGATGCATTGTCATGTTCACTGCTTGTAATAAAAAGAAAGAATTTTTAAAAATATTTTTTGCTGTATGATATCACTTCAAAAAAAAAAAAAATTTATTCCACCAGGTTTCAATGAGCAGTCTGAACCTAGTTTTGAAAAGGACATAAGAAAACATACCAAGGTCCTTCAGCCATTGTTGTCTTTCCTGTTCTTTGGTCGTTTCATACATGTCAGCATCTGGAGCAATTTGCTGCGAACAAAAATTCCAATAATCACACAAGGAATATCAAAACTGTTCTTGTTTTTGTCTATTTACTGCAGCTATTTAGAAAGATTTATTTTTTTTTGGCCTACCCCAAATATGAAGGAGCTTCTCATGGCGGCTGGAACATTACGACTAGACGTACTAACAGTTGGCTGTTGATTCCTCTGGACTTCCTCCCTTTTCTCCGACTCTTTCCTTTGTCGTCTGCTCTTGTTGTTCTCAGATGCATTCTGGGAACTGTTTTGATTGACAGTATGTGATTCCTCATCAATAGTTTCTGGATAGTCCTCCTGTTGATAAATAATACTTAATATGTAACTTAATTGGTGATAATGTTCAAGTTCAAAAGACCAACTTCAAAAGAAGAAATTTAAGTTTAACTCCCTCCCTTATTCTCAGAAATTATTTTTTTTAGAAAATTGTTAATCTGCTTGCTTTGCTTCAGATTTTAAAATGTGACATGCCAAGCAAAAACCTCCCTTAATGAAGAATTTTGACATTTTCAGTTTTTTATTGATTCTTTGTAGAGTTACTCTTTCTCTTTCATTTGGTGTATAACATGACATATATTCCTGTATAAAAATGTATAAAAAGATCGTATGACAGAGACGGAATATTTAATTTGACGTAGTGCACGCGTGCATAACTGCATGAATTTTCATGACATAAAATCATCGTAAAATAACGTGAAACTGTATAATAATTTAATTAATTTTTAAATACTTGTTCAATTAATCATTCTCATATAATTATAAAATATATGTCCCTAGGGTTTTGTACTTGACCTTTCAATTACATTGAACTTTGCCATCATCAAGTTAAAGTTAATATTTACTCAAACTATTATCCTAATTTAAAAATAAATAAATGGAGCAAAATATCTGAATTAGGCAAAAATAAAACCCTGTTTCATCCCTTTATGTAATTAAAATTTTACATATCCTTTCAAGGGATTGGCATTGGCTTACAAAAAAAGTGATGTTTGTTAAACACAATATGCCCCCTCCCAAAAATAATTGAAATTTTTTGAAGTCCAAGGGGCATAGCTCTGTCCAAAAAGCATCGAGTGTACCCAAAACAGACCTTGACCTATATAGATATTCTTCAAAGTATTTTTTTTTTACCAACATGATCTTAATCTTAAAAATTCTTTTGCCACAAAAAACTCAGCAACTTGATGATACATGATATTTGTGTTTGTGTTTTCATTTAATGGGGTATTGAAAAGTAAAATGACAGATTATGAATTTTATATTGTGATGTATTGCAATACATTTAATATTGCAACATATGGGGATACAATTTTTCAGTCACAATACCCAGCACTTTGATTCTGTACATGACTGCTCCAAGATGAGTCAAAGAACATCTCATTGATGATGGCAAATCATCGGAACAAACTAGACTTTTTGGCATCTCATTTGATCTAATGATTTGTACCTGTCAACTGATACATGATACGGCTCTTTGAATCAAGTTTCTGCTACATGTATAAGTAAAGTATTTAGGTATTGTTCTGAAGGTATGGAAAGAAGCTAGGGATCATTGCTCTATCAAGACTATAAGACCATAAGGAAGTAAATCATATATAAGTTAACATATTTCCTCCAAACAACTGCTCAACATATGTCATATCCAAACTGACAAAATTAAAAGCACTAGCTAGGTTCATTGACCTTCAATGACATAAAGGTAAATGTCATTTGCAAGAACGTATACCGCAGCAAATCTTCCTGGCTAGTATTATTAGTTACATAGTCTTTTAGTGACAGGGTATGGGATGATACCTGGTTAGTAAAATTCATACCTGGCGAGGCGGAGCCGAGTCAGGTATGAAATTACTAACCAGGTATCATCCCATACCCTGTCACTAAAAGACTATGTAACGAATTTACCCCATCGATGTAACATTTACGTTTTATCTGTAGTGTATAAATGGTTTCTCTGCTAAATGCTTCATCGCGATTAAACTGTGCTTATTATGATGTCACGTTTTTGTTTGTGACGTAATACATCGACCGGGTATAGATTTACAACTGACCGGGTATAGATAAGTAATCCACCGCCTTCAGGTGACAGACTTCAACCAATCGTAAGCCAGGATTTCACGGAAAAATGGACAGAGGTGGGGTAAATGTACGTACTTATGTTTTAATGGTTATTAAACTCTTAAATACACACCTTAAACTTTGAATGGCTAATCCATTTTAAAATAAATTCTCCTCAATTATATAATCATCTTTCGAAGTGCCCTGAATGATTATTTTAAGACAGCTAGATGTCGTTCACAGACAAATTTGTATCTAATTTATCAATACGAATGAATTTATTAAGGTTGTGAAAACAGCAACTGTTTTAATCCACCATTTGGATCATTTCTTTTACAAATACATCCATGTTGTTGAATGACTTTTCACTAGGTGACAATTTTATTTTAAGTTTATAAATATAATTTACAGCATATAAGCACAGTCCTTCCTTTGTATTTCAGATTGGCATTGAGGACTCAAGAGCAATGTTCTAAGCTTCCATTAGGAAATTGACTAAAAGAGGATCCTATAATGAAACAAAAATAAGTTTTCATCTCTTTTGTATTTCCTGCTAATAAAATTCCATAGCAGTGTCTTAAAAGAAAATTGAGAAAAGTCTCCTAGATAGAGAGTAGGCAAAATCTGACCACAGACTTTAATTGACAGACAGCTAAAGCATTTATATGCTTCATATATGCTGGATCACCATTAAGGGAACAAATCCAAGAGGAATTAAGATTCTATCTTTGGATTAAACTGCAGAACCAGAAGTTAAAGACTGCAAGTCAACAAATTGATTCCAACTAACAAGAAAAATTTAAACTAAATCAAGGTTTATTTGCATCTGGTGACTTCACTCTTTGGATCAGATATGACCAACGAGATCTCCTTCTCTGCCGATTTAAACTGCTCGGTGTTAGAGATGGGAGAACCAGTGGGAGAACTAAACAGTTCCTTTGTGTCCATCGTGTCAGAAGAACAGAGAGAGATCTTACAGACTATGAACTACTACTGTTACAACATCATCATTCCTACGGTGTGCTCATTTGGAATTCTGGGAAACATTCTCAACGTCATTATCTTTACGAAGAAGAAGAATACAGGTATGTTGGACAAGGTTGAATATTGTACGACAATTTGTTTGGTGTCACTAGCTGTGTCTGACCTGATGTTCTGTATAACAACCATTCCTGTTGGATTTCAAACCCCAACACAGACCATCTACCATAAGAGCCAGTTCCTGTTGTACTACCACATGTATAACTCAGCCATCGTCAGCATGTTCATTTTCAGCAGTACCATGTTAACAGTTCTTACTGCACTGATGAGATACCTTGCCATCTGTCATCCATTCCGCTCCAGACAATTTATCTCCATCAGAAACGTTAGTACAGGTATATTTGTAGTAGCTGTAATCTCTATTGCATTTAACCTGGTGTCAATGTGGCATTTCACTACTGAAGAATGCATGGAAGAGGGATACACAACCGTACAGCCAAGCAGCCTATTTATGAAGGCCTCTTTTCAGTACACTCTTAAACTACTTTGGGCCATTTTCGGGAATTTCATTCCTCTGTCGACTTTACTTTTCTGTAACATTCAGCTGATATGTGCTCTCCAGCAGAGTCAACAGCTCCACATGCTCCACAGTCGTTACGATACTTCCAGTTTATCATCTCATCGCCACATTAACATCACCCAGCTGGTTATGATCATCATCTTTTTTTTGTATCCTAGTGGCGCCATCAGAAATTACCAAATTTATCTCCCTTGTTAGTAACGACAGAGGATTTCGGTACGCAATGGTATCCTACATCACCAACACGCTACAGTGCATCAATTTTTCTGTTAACTTTTTCTTATATTATGTTATAATTGCTCCATTTCGGCACACCTTACATGACTTTCTCTGCTCATTCCCTCGAGCAATTCCACACAACAAAGAACGTGAGAGATCCTCTGCAAACACTGGAAAACAACCTTCTCTCTATAGAGGACAAACATTATATCTAATGTCAGAAAAAACACATGGAAAAATCCAGTTTACAGGAGTGACGCAAGAAGAAACGGACAAGACAACTTCCCAAACATAACCATGAAGAAGGCTACCATGATGATTTACTTCTTCAAAAGTTATTCAGTACATGTACTCAGTTTACAGGGCTGACTTTTCACCTAGAGAGACTAACATCATTACATTTCAGTGCTCTATTTCTGACTTTCCAAAGCAGATACTGCAAAGGTTGTCCAAGACAACTGTGAAGTTTTTCAATCATTTTCAAGACCAAAAGACTGAAGAATTTTTTTAATAGATAATTTTCCAATCTCCACCATAAAAGTAACTGCTTGCAAAGTTGAACAGCAACTAAAAGTATGCAGTCTAGCTCCTGCTTTTTCAGTTTGTCATCATTATTTTTGCTTTTCTGCCAAATACCTTTGCCATCAGACAACCAGTCAAGACCTTCTTGAACCCCATTAAGCTAGGTATAAACCAGTGTCTACGATGTGTTGGCATTGTTCCGTTCTGCTGTCTTTTCTTGTACATACAGGGGAAACCAGCTCAGCCCAGTATGGCTGCTGCACATTAATTTGGCCCTGTGGTTCTTGAGAAGTCAAAAATGTGAAAAGTTAACAGATGGGCGGACACATACTGATGGACAAAATGTTAGCAGAAAAGATCACTTGAGCCTTCAGCTCAGGTGAACTAAAAATTTTGTCATACTTTCCATATTTTGTGATATGACAAGCATATTATCAATATATGGTTATTTATCCATGAACAAAATTGCTCCATTACACGCATTATGCATTCATTCTACATTTATTTATCCTTTTTTTACCCCTCTATCCCCTGGATATATGACTCCTTGGATATCATTTTGATATCCAATAGTTAAATTAGTGAAGTTGTGACATGATCATAATTGTTTTTGCATTTCGTGCTGAAGTAAAATAAATTCATATTTTAAAAACCAAGTAAAACATTGGTGAAGTATTTAAACATGAAAAAAAAAATCTCTCATGCTTTAATTGTCATTGGATATGACTTTTATCCAACTTGTTGGATAAAATATCACACCCAACTATAAAGGATCACTTCATTATAAATAGGGATCTGATCTATAGGATCAAGCTTGGTTTTATTCTCTACAAAAAGCTTGTCGATTTCCGTTCTGATTAATGACATTAGGCTGAATACATATAACAATTTGTTTTCCCTAAATCTTTATTTCAGTGAGTAGAGATAGGAGGAACCCTTT